CGGTCATTTGGTTGGTGCACTCCTGCGTAGACCATTGAAAAACAGGCCTTTGGCTGACCAATTCCCTGAGGAGGTCTTGGTCGCTCGGCGTGCATTACTGTCCTTTCAGCCAGCAGCGCGGTGTTGGGCCCATTCCCTTGAACTGCAGGATGGTCGAAAATATAGCAATAGCCATTTCGTGATGAATAGAGACCTGGAAAAGTGTCCCATACACAAAACATGTGCCACTGAAATATGGGGCCGCCGACGCTTGCGCCTGGTTTTCCCAACAGTCAACACGCTCCTCCATTCTGTCTGCCGTCGGGCCGCGGCGTTTTGTAAATGGCGACTGCTGGACGGGCCCTCTATAGATGGAGCGTCTCGTGCCGTATGGCGTCCCCTCTGCAACACAGTAATGGGCTGCCGAGTGGAACAGTTTAATAAGTGCTTTCACGCAGTGTCGGGCGCCTTCGGCGCGTTTGAAAGAGCCGGAGCGGCGTCCAATGTAGCTGTTTAGCTTTCCATAAGTGGACTCGGCTTCGGTACACTGAAGCTGAGGCGCGCTGGCTTTCAATGGGGCAGCCGCCGAAGAGGTGCCCCTCCCACTCCCCACTCTTGAAAGGGTGCTGTCGTGTCGGTGGGATAAAGCCGTCCATTAATACACAACACCGCGCAATTTAGCGGGTACCAGATAGCGGCTCGTTTGCCTTCTGTTTTCCGCCCGCGGCCGACACAGCACCGGGGGCGCGGCGACGGGCGCTGAAGCATCGGCCACGTGGCGAACAGATATTAGTTATTGTATATAAATTATTGTTTACAGGGACTGTCAGGTATGTCTTATTTGGTACTGTTAACGTTCAGGTGAAAAATACGCATGTCTATGAATATTTATTATTGAAAACGCATTCCGAAATGGATGGAAACGTGCAGAACTTTTGCGCGAAGAAATGGAGGTGATCGGTCGTCGCCATGAATGTGCTCACAGTTCACCCGTTAGGTTTCATGACGAAATATTTTCCACCCAGCATTGACCTCGTTGCCCGTACGTGAGATCAGCGTTTATTTCAGTGGTGCTTAAAATAAGACCGTAGTGGTTGACCTTCGTGTGGCTGTCAAAAGCTCACGGGAACGCTGAAGATAAAATATAGAAGTAAAGAGCGGGAGCGTTCGTCACTGGACTCGCTTTGGTCAGCAGCACTTCAGGAGGGTCAGCATTTCATCGCACATTGCAAAACTAAGTCCAGATTCAAATCTTATGGACCCAATGATGATTGTCAAACACTGCGCTGGCGGATCGAAAAAGGTTCGATTTGCGAGATGTTAAATGTCGTGTCATGAAAAGCATGCGGGAAGCATAGCTGCGATGGTATGGTTGTTATGAGGATGAAAAATTGATTTGGGCTCCCTAGATTAGAGGGCAAAAGTTAATGTAGTTGTATTATATGGCTCGTTGGCAAAATTAATGGGTTCGCATGAAACAACTTCTTTTCACACAGATACGACCCTATTTTACAGAGCATATCAACATTGTATAGATTGCTGGCTGTGATACCTGTATCATGCAATGCCAATGATGAAATGACAAATGTCATGTATCGCGTGCTAAAAATGTCTTTCAGGTTTATATGTTTTTTAGGTGGACTTTGTCACACGTCACAACAATCTTTATTGAATTAAACTCCACTCCACTCGTGCGTTATCTCCTAGTGAATTTCCTGTTTTGTGGAACGCGTCGTACATAGTCGTCTTCTTCTCTTGCATGCTTTCTCCGCCTCTGATCGTCAGCCAAGCAAAGCATGAGATCGGCGTTCGAGTCGCCAGAGCCCCTCAAACCACCGCCGAATGCAATATCACAGGGCGGCTCGGCGCGTCCGAATCAATCGGTTCAGAAGCCTCCGAGACCCGGTGAGCGCCTTTGTGGCCCGAGTGGCCCCAATATCTGCCCCCGAGCCCGACCCGGCCCCCGCCCCGCCTAGCCCAGCTCCCGGGACCGTCCGCCGCCAGGGACGCGGCAGGCACCGCGCCGCCGGTCGGACGGAGCGTCGGCACTCGCGCCGGCGCCGCTGCCGACGACGGCGGCCTGCGCCTGGATCCGGTCCGACGCCGGCCCGGTCCCGCCGGCGACCGAGCGCGGGAGGGTCCGCGGCACCGACACCGGCGCGGCGCTTCAAATTAATTCGGCGTTTGGCAATCAGCGCTGCAAGTCCCCATCCGCCGAGACGTCGGCCTAATGTCACGCAATTAAAGTGCCGTGTTAAATCTAGCAACTGGAAAACATTAGCGCGCAGGGGAAGTCATGCCAGAGATGCATGGCTGGCTTCACTCATTGTCTCGGGGGGCGACGCGATGCAAATGGGGGCTAAATGTCACGCGCTGGGCGGCCATTTTTCCCACCGCTGACGGCTGTGTGGTCCGGAGAACAAAGGGCTGGATGGAGGGCGGAAGAACATCATTGTGGCTAAATGCGCCGTAAATGGCGCGACCGCTGTGTCGGTGGTGTTAGCAGAGCGCCGCCTTGCCATGCCTCCAGAGCTCAGAGGACGACGGGTGACCAGCCGTCGTCGACACCGGCGTTCGTCGACGCGGTGGCTGGACTGCAGGTAACCGGGTCTGACGCCGTGAAAGGCGACGCCGGGGCGCGGGGAGGCCGCGACAGAACAGTCCTGCCCTGTCCTGACAGGCCATGCGCCGCCGGCCGACAGAACCGGGGACAGTTCTGCGCCGCCGGCCGGCAGAACCGGTGACAGTCCTGCGTCGCCGGCCGCCAGAGCCGGTGACAGTCCTGGCGTCAGCACGGCCAAAAGTGCCGCCGCGACTGCCAATCGGCAGCCAACAGCTCAGCTCAGTGGCGTGAACACCGCCGGCAAAGGTGGAAAGGCGGCCTTCCGCCACGCCGCGCAACGCGGCTGACGCTCCGGTCGTGGCGCAGCTGCGTCTCATGGACAGCCGCCGCGCCCACCTGCAGGTCGCGTCCAACATTAACTTCACGGACACCAAAAAGCGCGCGCAATGTTGCCGCGCAGACTCTCAGCGCCGTCCCGCTCGGCGCGGTCCTCGGGCCGTTACCGTGGTCCGCGCCGGCCGGAGCTGCCCGCCGCTCCGGCGTGAACCGACATGAGTTACCGCGCCCGACGACTGCTGCCGCCCAAGTTGGCTGAACCGGCCGTTGTTGATAAAATCGGCCCAACTTCTGCCGGCGCGCCACCAATTGGCGCCGCCGGCCGTTTTCCTAAGCAGACGCCTGGGGCCATTTTCCGAGCGGCGGCCTCCAATCCATCAGATAGCAGAAATGAGTTATATCCAATTCAATTACACGGCCTCTCTGGTGTTTTTCATCGCCCGCGCGGCCAACTTTTCACGCAGTAAAACGGAAATAAGCTCAAGAATCAAATCAATTTAGATAATGGGCAACGCCGTCCAGATGTCACCTCTAAATCCCGCAGAAAGAGGCGGCTCGCGCCCGGCCAGATAAGGCTGCAGCAGCCGTTCGACCGAAGGCTCAGAGAACATGGCGACGGGCGGGCGTGTTTATTATCAAAGCGTGGAACCCCACGACAGGAACTTCGTGCAGATATAAATACATTTCACTGGATTTGAGAGGGCAATCCCCAAACATACAAACAAATACAACAGACGGCGCATAATACATTAAAACTTTGCTTTCAGCGAATGGGGCGTCGCTATTGGAAACTGCTGGTCGCACAAATACGACGACCGTCCCGCGGTGCGGGCAGGCTGGGAGCAAAGCAGCCGAGAAAACTAAGATCGGTACAGATCCGGCCCGTCACCGAACACCCCAGCGCGCTTCAAGGCGAGTCGACAGTGCGTAGACGCCGGAGGGCCGTCCCCCGCGGCTCGCTGGAGCGTTATCGGGGAAACGTGCCTCGATTTGCAGATGGTGGACGCGTAACCCTGTTCTCTAAACCAGTTTTGGAAACAGTCCTCTCTCTCTCTCTCTCGGCTCTAGAGATAGAGAGAGAGAGAGAGAGCGATAGAGAGAGCGAGAGAGAGAGAGCGAGAGAGAGAGAGAGAGAGAGAGCGAGCAGCGAGCTAGAGAGAGAGAGAGAGCGCGCGAGAGAGAGAGAGATATAGAGAGAGAGAGTAGAGCGATATCTAGCGAGAGTATAGTCGAGCCGAGAGAGCTAGTAGAGAAGAGATCTAGGAGGAGAGAGGAGAGGAGAGCGATAGAGAGATAGATCTCTCCCTCTGCTCTATCTCGTCTCTATCGCTCGCTCGATCTCATGTCTCTCCCTATCTCTCTATTCTCTCCTCTCTCTCTACCCTCTCTCTCTCCTCTCTCTCTCTCTCGCGGGCTCTCACCAAAACATCTCAGATTTCCAGTCCGATGAGTATCCCGGCTTCAATGACCGGCAAGTCGAACGCTATACACAAAACAGTCCTGACCTGGCGCCACAGTCCGCGGATAAAATCCACCGTCCCAACCTCTACTGGCAAGCTGGCAGGCACCCGCCCCGTTACCACCTGCGGCACTGGACGCCGGGCCGCGGCTGACCGGGGTGCCGCAGGGCACGCGCAGGGGGCACCCGAACACCATCACAGCACACTGGAAGGTCACCAGAGAGCGCACGCACGGCCGGCCACACGGAAGGCGAGAGAAGGGACGACGCGGGAGCACACCCGCCCCGGCGGCACGTGGGGCGCCGCCGCATCATATTGCTACTTGGCAGGTCACCGGTCCGCACAAGACGCGCAACTCACGCAGGAATAGCTGCCTAAAACGGCATGGGTGATCAACAGCGAGTAAAGATTGCTGAACGACGGCAAAAGCCCAAAAAGCCCAGCTGCTGCACACACCCATCGCTTGCAGGAGCACGTAAATACAGCACGCGCGGAGGACGACAGCAGCGGTCGCCCTGTGTCAGGTTCCGCCGGCCAGCCGAAGTCAGACACCATGTACAAGCCGCCGCCGGCGCCCGCAGGTCCACGGTCACAGCCCCCGCTCGCGGCAGCCGCCCTGCGGCCGCGACCGCCGCCGCCGGCCGCGGCCGCACGTCCACCACACAGCGGTCCCCTCGGCCGCGCTCCGACTCCAGACACGGCCTCGTCCCGAGCCGCTCTCTCCCGACGCTGCTCGTCCCGTCCTCGCGGTACACGCGCATGGCCTCACACGCCGCCGGCCGGGTCGTCTCGGCCCCCGGCGCCGGACGGGTGATGTGCGTGGCGTCGCCCGTGGTGCTCGCCTCTGCCGCAGACGCTGCGTGGCGGCCCGCCTCTCGCGGCGGCCGGCTCACTGCGACTCCAGCTCGTCCATCACCCAGGCGTACTGCTGCGGCTCGGGCGGCGGCGGCGGCGGCGGTGGGGGTGGAGGCGGCGGCGGGGGTGGTGGTGCCTGAACCGGCGGCGGTGGCGGCGGGCCAGCCACCTCCATCCGTTTGGCGCACTGCTGCTCGTGCGTCTGCAGTTTGTCGCGCCGCTCGAAGCCGGTCTGGCAGACCGAGCACCTGTCGGCAACGGCCGTGGTCAGACTGGGTCAGAGCCGGGCGGCAGGGGTCACAGCAGGTCAGGACCGGGGCAGCCGGGGTCAGAGCACGTCGGAGCGGGCCGTCGACGTCAAACCGCGTCAAGGCCAGGCGGCCTGGGTCACAGCAGGTCAGGACCGGGGCGGCCGGGGTCAGAGCACGTCGGAGCGGACCGTCGGCGTCAGACCGCGTCAAGGCCAGGCGGCCTGGGTCACAACAGGTCAGAGCCGGGGCGGCCGGGGTCAGAGCAGGACATGGATGAAATCCATGGACATCACACGCAACATGCAACAGCGGTTTTGTTCGTTGGCCTCGCCTTCTTCACATATTCCCATATTCAATCCCACCGTTAAACTTCTTCCCGACACCAGGTCATGGCGAAGTAGGCTTCGTTTGTTTTACTCAGGAATTTCGGCCGCGCTGTACCGATTTTGCCGAAGGTACGCTTACTCTCATCCTACATGTGCCGTCCCAATGCGGACCACCGTACATTGGCTTCGATTACCCTTGTGTAGCTTGCTAAATAAACAGAAAACACATCAGGTGACGAACGTGCGTGCAGTTCAATGCGTGTAGCTCGCATGATAGAGTTAAACATTTATCGGACATTGTAGCATGCTACTGAACATAGCCCAATGCCTCCCCCCCCCCCCCCCTCTGCCTTAAAACAGCACAGTGGTGCAACAAGTGATGTTAAGTGTGGGGAATATGGAAGATACAAAAGGGACACTAAAGCCTTGGCGTAAGATTCTGAGGGGGCTTCAAGTTTCCAACAACAACTCGCCCTATCTCTGAAGTGGGGAAAATCCCTGCTGATGGATGAGTTTTGAAGGTGGGAGAAGCGGCGATGCCCAAACATTCCCGACCAGAACAGCTCTGGAACGCAACAGCGAACTAGAATGTGGATAACACCCAGCCAAGATGCGTAATAACACCGACAGTGGTGGTGCTCCTAAAAAATGTTCAATTTGTACTTCCCATGAGCATGGGCTACTTCACACAAAATCTAATGACATGTAACACATTGCATGCATGCATGCACGCACGCACGCACGCACGCACGCACGCATCGGTTCTGAGTAATTCTAGCTGACCAGCAGGCACTCCATCAGCGTTATCTCTTCTTTGAAACACAGGCCGGCTATTTAGGGAACATGATAAGAGCGCACAAATTACTGACATTTCGACGAAAGATCACATCAAGCATGATCTTTAGTGAGACAAACGGCCTGAACTTCTGAGCAAGCCACGCGATGAAGGGAATATGACCGATCAGGTCGGTGACATTTGAAATATCTGAGCCATTTATAATGTTGGGTTAAATGATAGCATGATGCCAAGACATGACCGATCATGTCAGCCACACTGGAAACGTTAACGGTACTTTTATAGCAGGTATTTTATCTGCCGTACGCTCTGTCGCATTCTTCATCCGGACACACTGTCCCATGCTCTAGCGTGCCACTTTAAGCAATCTATAGAATACAATCGAGTGTCCATTTATCGCTCAGGGTACGGCCCAACACGATACCAGTTTACGGAGCCCGGAAAACTGCTGACAAACCGCTGTAGTGATCAATTACGACATCGCTTAAGAACTCTTTGACCCTCTAATTAAAAGTTAAAAACCTTTCAGAGCAAACAAACACCAGGCTAACATATCACAAACTCCACTCATACACGAGATTGCGTGCTTAGATTTCCGAGCTACGGAGCACTTCCCCGAAAACTTATTTCCTCGCAAAACATGCAAATTGGGCACGAATATATAATCAGCGATTTTCACCAATGAACCGTATCTCCGAACGCCCCGGGACATTCATCAGGCCACAAACGCGAAATTCCCCATTGGCGGCGCTCAAACGGACCAGTTTCGGGCGCCGGCGGCCGGCGCTCGCCGCGCCAAATGCTGGTGGCGCGCCGGCGGCGGCCGAACCGTTTCGGCTCGTTTATTTCGCCTTTCAGCGCGGCAATTAATCGGCCGGCGCCGGTGAGCGGCCGCCCGCGACCCGTCGGCCGGACATCGGTCAGCGGAGCCGATAAGCCGGCCGGTCCATGAGCGGCCCACTCGGCCGCGCCGGCGGCACCACCGCGCCGGCCGGCTCCCCGGCGCCGGCGCCGGCGCTGATCACGACCGCCGGCCGGCTTAAAAAGCGGCGCCCTCCCGCCGTACTTTACCAACTCATTAGAAGGGGAAATTATCGGAGCGCGGGCGGGTGGTCGACCGGTCGTACAACGATAAATCGCCCACGTAATCGGACGGACGGCGCGCCGCGTCTGAGCGCCGTCGGGAGGGCGTCGCCGCGGGATCCGTGACGCACCGAAGCCATGCATACTCCGGGGAGCCACACACAAGTCGGGAACCGCACGTCCCACACAAGTGACCAAACACACACGTGAATGTGTACACGGGCGCGGGGTTTCGCTGTGATTGCGTTGGGCGGACGGAGGGATCAGGCTATTGTCTTCAACTTGCGCGTCACCTCATACGCCGGGTGGTCAACAACAGCTGCGGCGAACAAAACTGACATGGACAAATTACCTCGCCGCAAAAACTCCATTATAGTTGCTATTTGAACAAAGGGTCACCAGGTGGCTGTTTCTTTACCGCATGTATTAACTCCCACATCCCACAGTGCCTCAGACGTGCGCCACGGGCGCAGGCCCGAACACGCCTCGGTCAGTGCAGTTGGCTCCGCGATACGGTAATTTTTGCATTGCCCCTATACTACGAACAGAAGTTGTATACCACATTTGTATAACAGATACGGAACAGGTTCGTGTGTCCACAACCTCGATGTTGTATAACTCTCCAAGACGTGTCCGCAGGTACAGGAACAGCAGGTGTGTGACCGAGCATCCAGGCACCATTCCACGTGTAAGTGGCTCTCGGGGGCCTCATTCATTCACTACACGCCTCTCCCTTGTGAAAATTTATCTCAACATTCACCTGAGGCATTCGTCTGAAAGAACACCGCAATTGTTCCGGGGTCCGCGGTCAAGTCAGCTGGCCCGGCGCCGTGAGCTGATCTCGGGAGCGGCCAACGGCACCGGCGCCCGACAGCCAGCCCGGCGCCGACGCCCGACAGCCAGCCCCGGCGCCGGCGCCCGACAGCCAGCCCCGGCACCGGTGCCCGACAGTCAGCCCCGGTGCCCGACAGCCAGTCCTGGGGCCGGTGCCCGACAGCCAGTTCCCGGGCCGGTGCCCCACAGCCAGCTCCGGGGCCGGTGTCCGACAGCCAGCCTCAGCGCCGGCCCGCCGCCCCGAGCACCCACCTGAAGCGACGCTCGCCGGTGTGCAGGCGTAGGTGGCAGTCGAAGTTGTACTTGTAGGCGAAGTCCTTGCCGCAGTACTCGCCTGGCAACGGAGCGGCGCGCGTTAGACAGGGACACGTGTCTGGCCCCGACAAGGACACGCGGACATTCGGAACGTCAGGCGCGCGCCGACACACGCACCACCACCCGCCATGACTGGCCGTGCAGCCGACAGATAAACACTGCTCGCTGATGGGAGCGGAACGCTCCGGACCGCTGACGCATGGTCGGTGTAATGACCAAGCGTGCACAGTAACGAGTGGGGAGGCTCTCAACCGACACACGGTGGTCTGCGTCGCGACAGTGCGACACGTGCTAAAGGGGCGGAGGGAGCAAGCAGTTTCTTCTGCACGAGCAGCGTATCACTCAGGCATTGCTCCCAGGGCTTTCAGCCGGAGCCGGGCGGCGACGCGTCGCACTGAGGCAGACATGGCTCGGCGGGAGACTCGGACCTCGCCGGCAGTGGGCTCCGGCCGGCGCCGCCCGCGGCGAGTCCGGCACGGCGCGGGCCGGCCGCTGCCGACGCACGTCAGCGCGTCGCGCCGCAGCCCGCCGGACGCCGCTCACGAGCGCGGGAGGTCCGATCGGCATCGATCGGCGCGCCGCCGGCGGTCATTAAGCCGCGGGCGGCACTCGACGGACGCGGCGGGCTGCCCCGGCCCGACAAAAACGGCGGCCGTCGCGCCCGATCACGTGGCGTTCGACACGCCCAAACACCGGCGGCCGACGCTGGCGGCGCGGGAGCCGCGGCGCCGCCTGCCAGCGGACTGGGACGGGCCACCGCCGTCGTAACGTGCCCAGCTCGGACGGGCACGGAGGGGTGGCGAGGTTTGGCGCCAGCCGCTGGTTCCACAGGCCCCCAAGTGGGATAGGGACAAGCACGAGTATCTAGTTTGGAAAATGCATTCGAACTGCCCCGGTCTTCCGCGCACGCCCCCCGTTGGAAGACACGGCCAATTTTACCCTTTGTGTGTGCTCCTCACAGCAGGCGAGATAGAGACACCACAGGCACTAAGCTGAACAATGGCAGCAATCCCCGCCGTCGCCTTCAGCAAATGCCGCCCGCGACATTGATGGCAGACCTCAGCTGTGTCCATTCCCGACACAACGCGACCCGTGCCGCTCGCGGGCTACGGCCGAAGCTGGACGCTGCCGCCCCCTGTCCCGACAGCCGGCCCGGCGCGGCCAGCCCGCCGCCCGGCTCGGCCAGCCCCTCGCGGGCTACAGCCGGAGCTGGACGCTGTCGCCCCCTGTCCCGACAGCCGGCCCGGCGCGGCCAGCCCGCCGCCCGGCTCGGCGGCCGTACTCACACTTGAAGGGCTTCTCGCCGGTGTGCTTGCGCTGGTGGATGCGCAGCTTGGCCGCGCTGCGCAGCGCGATGCCGCACTGGCCGCAGGCGAACGGCCGCTCGCCGGTGTGGATCTGGGCGGAGGTGCGGTGTCAGCACTCGGGCATCGACGGCGGGGGACCGGCACGCACGCACGCACGCACGCACGTACGCACGCACGCACGCACGCACACACGCACGCCCAACCACGGCAGGACATAAGCGAGATGGCGGTACCGCGACACCGACAGCCAACACCGATGCCGTGCCGGCAACGCTGCGGCGGTCACTGCATCGACAACGACGGGGTCGAGCAGGAGCCAAACAGTGTGGCCTGCAGTGAGCAGACTGGAAATTGGTACCAGTGCGGGCACATGCATGTGCATGTGGGTTTGCACATGCATGCGGCACATGCATGTGCAAACCCACTCTCCAAACATCCGCCCGGGCCGGTCTCAGTGACAAATTTTTGGAAAATACTGCCCTCGCGATCAGCATACAACGATCACCGTCAGCAGACTCGAGGAGCATCATCGCTCACACCAGGTGAACATGCATGGATCACATCCGGCAAACAGCACCGCCAGCCGGCAATCGGTTGACGCCCCGAGGGACGACCATGTCCTCGGCACGTCCACCGCGCCACAATCCGCCAGAAGCGCCGAGCGGCAGTCTGTGGCACGCGCCACCTGGTGCGGACGGCAAGCCCGTACACCAGGGCCTCACGCTGGCGTGGTCTCCACCGCGACGGTGGGGACGCGCCGTCCACAGCGCCGCGCAGATGGCGCTGCGGTCGCCGACGGGCCGGACCCTGGGCCCAGCGGCACTGACCTGCCGGTGGAACTTGAGACCGTTCGCCTCCCTGAAGCGCTTCCCGCAGTACTCGCACACGTGCTTCATATCCCCTGCCGCAGGGAGGTCACAGGTCAGACGCCCGGAAGTGGGGCGCAGCGCGAGGTCACAGGATCTACCCCGAGCTGACAGCCCAGCCCAGGTGACCAGCACGGAAACTAGCCGCCGCAGCTCCGCGAATACACGCAAACGTCGCCGCATTGGCACTGACGACGGAAGGACCGCGCAACCACGGTCATGGGTGTACAGGCTCCGCGCGAAAACACTGCAGCTAACCGGAGCAGCGACTGCGCACACCGCAGCTGGCGCCGCCGCGCGGCGTCCGTCTGTGTGACCCTGCGCCGCCCGGCACCCCGGTAGCGGTCGACTCCGCGACCCGGCGGCGCCGACGCCACTGACCGTTGTGGTAGCGCATGTGCCGATTCAGCTCGCACTTCTGGTTGAACTCCTTGTCACACAGCGTGCACTTGAACTGGCGCACGCCCGTGTGCAGGGCCAGGTGAGTGTTGAGGTATTTGCGCAGCTTGAACCTGCGGGGCAGAGCAAGGCTGGTGTCACGCGGGCTATGACGCGAGGTTCATGGTTTGAGGATGCCAATTGAACAGCAAAAATACTTAGCATTGACGGTGACAATACTTGATAGCCCAAAGTACGTATTTGGCGTTCTAATCCAAGCTAAATTTGCAGTAGTTAGTCACATGTTTAACTATGAAGACTGGCTTCAGACTGAGCAGCTAATTGGTAACGGCCGGGTCCCAAGGTAACGAACACCCAGCTCCTCAAGCATCCAAGCAAATACTGCCGGACCAGGTAGTATCGCCAGCCCTGCACTGCTGTATCTACTGGGAAGCCCACCGGCACTGGTGGAGCGCACGAGTCACTGATATGGAAGAGCGACCTCAACACGAGTCCACAGCTCTAGCCAAGGGCCGAGCCGCACTCAGTAATTTACCTACACAACCCCTGCAGGGATTCTCCGCTCGGAGAGAGCGTGCTCACGTGGGGGAAGTAGCCGGCAGCGGGTGGAGCGCCGCCGGCACTCACCGGCGTCCGCAGACGGAGCACTTGTGCGCATGCACGTCCGAGTGCAGCACCATGTGGTTCTTGAGGTTGGTGAGCGACGTGAGCTCCTTGCCGCAGATGGGACAGCCCGTGTCGGGCGTCTCGGGGGGCGCGTCCTTGCGCGGCCGGCCGCGGCGGCCCAGCCGGTGACTGCGCACCGCCGCCACGATCGCCTCCTCGCCGCTGGGGTCGCGCGCCGCCGCCTCCGCCGCCGACGTGTGCTCGTGCGCCGCCAGCTGCGCCGGGTTGAACGTGCGGAACTCGCACAGCTCGCACGCCAGCTCGCGCAGCGTCGAGTGGAACAGCGCGTGCAGCTTGAAGTGGTCGAGCCGGAGGTAGCGGCAGCCGCAGAGCAGGCAGGCCACCTCACCTGCCACCGAGGGTACGCCGAGCACGTTATGAGGTTGGAAACCGCTTGCGCGAGAAATACACGAGCTCTAGGCGATGATGCAACAGTCCTTTTCGTGTCGGATGACTTAACCCTCCGGCACGCATTTTCTGGTCAGGGGGCCAGCCTTCTGTCTAGGTCTCCTATCCTCCAGCTTTATCGGCAGAAACCCGTCCCCAGCCCAAACCTGGCCCGAGCAAACTCATCCTCGGCAAACTCGTCCCCAGTTAACCCGTCCCCAGCTAAAGCGACAGTGCATCGAAGCAGACCATTCGATCAGACCGCCAGCTGCTTCACATTAGTGAGCGGTCTCATCTGTCCCTCTCAACAACCGACAACCGACAACCGACAACCGACAACCAACAACCGACAAACGACAAACGACAACCCACAACGTGCCCGCCGCTCTGCCTGGCACGGCCGCGCCGGTGGCGCCTCGCAGCGGGCCTCACCGGAGCCGTGCGACTCGGTGAGGTGGCGCTCCATGGCGTCGTGGTCGGCGCAGTCCTGGCGACAGGCCAGGCACGAGCGCCGGTACCGGCCGGGGAAGAGGCGCAGCGCGCCGGCCAGGTCGAACCGGCGGCCGCACGGGCACGTCACCACGCGGTCTTTCTCGTTGTCGCGCAGCGTGTGCGACTGCGAGCAGTCCGGGCAGCAGAACTGGATGGCGAAGTCGCCGACGTCGACGGTGGCCGGGTCGGTGGCGGCCGGCGGCGGCGGCGGCGAGCCGCGCGCGCCGTGCAGGTACAGCTGACGGTGCAGCATCAGGTCGGCCCGCTTGACGAACTGCTCGCCACACGGCTGAGGGCGGACGGCGGCGCACGGTCGGCGGGTGGCGATTACGGCGTCAGAGGGCACAGGAGCGTCTCAACTCGGGGCCGGTTCGCACGGCTATAACAACCCCCATAACAACTCTGCGTTGCTGGTTTGCGCTAAGTTGGAATTCCAGACATCTGCATTCTGATCATCAGTTATTAAGGTTGCAGTAAATGAGTGAGACAAATTTCCCGTCTACAAAACGTATTAGCATACCACAAGACCAACGACCAGACTGCAAGGTTTCCACCGCACAGAGACGTTGCAACAAAACCGGCCCCACGCTGCTGACCTCGCAGCGGAACTTCTTGATGAAGTGGTGGTGCTGGTTCATGTGTCGCTTGAGCGAGTCCTCGTAGGTGAAGCGCTTCTGGCAGACCTCGCACTGGTGAGCCTTCTCGCCGTCGTGCACGGCGGCGATGTGCGCCCGCAGTGCCTCCCGGTCAAACGTGTAGAACGGACACTGCGAGCACACCAGGTTCTTCGACTTCTCAATCTTCTTGTCGCTGACGGCGGCGGACTTGGCGCGCCGCAGCCCCGGCGACTTGGTGGATGCCTGCCGGCGGAGGCGTCCAGTTCGGCCGACGGAAAACGACACGGCGCTGCCCCATGGCCGTGATTGTGACGATCTGCCTGGCGATTCGCTCGTGAACAACACGATCTGATAGCGTACCTACGCCCATCAACATGTATGTGAAAATCTGGACGAATTCCCGATTCAGACAGGTCACACACGCTCCAAACACGTATGCGCCTGCTTGTGTCACATTTATAGGCACAGATGGATCACAGAAAACAAGAATGCATGTCTACGTTTTCGCAGTAAGGCCCTGCATCATTGGTGCAACCGCGGCGTGTACAGGCGCACCGGTCGGTTCAAAAGTCGTCCAGCGGGGTGTGCACGAGGTACATATTAATTCAAGCGAGCCGAAATTTTGACTCTCTGTAGTCTGCACGCACAGTTGGCTGGCTAATTTGTTGCTTTTGACACCAAACCCTGAAACATGACCAGCCCGGCCGATTCCCTAAGCCCGAGGCGTCTAGATGCTGCGCTGACCACCGCCCAGCTCGATACCCGTTGGCCGATCTTGACTAAGGGTGAAAGGAAGTGACCGGCCGTGAACCCCGAGCCGAGGATGCCATAGCATGAGAAGAAAGAAAACTATCCCCGGCACCAAGCGGCCAAATATTGATATTGGAGCACTGAGCGCATGTGCCCGCTGGTCGTGCCAGGGCGTGGCCAACGCCTTGGCACGGCCAGCGGGTGCGGATGTCGAGCCAAGGCGTGGCCACATCCTGGCTCGCCCCTCCCCTCCCACCAGCGCGGCGCCGCCCGCCCCTACCGCGCTCCTGGTCTTCCGGCGTCGGTTGGGCCGGTACTCGTCGTCGGCCGGGTCGGCGGCCGGCTGCGTCGGGTCGGCCGCCTCGGTCGGCAGCGGGCGGCGGGCGGCGGCGCGGCGCGTGCTGCGCCGGCGCCGCTCGGCCGGCACCGCCGCGTCCTCTGCGCTCGAACACCACCACGCGCGGAACTGGCTGCGCACGCTGTTCTTCATGGCAGCCACGCGCTGCTCCAGGTCGTCAATGGTGACCAGCAAGTCGTGGCAGTTGAGGCAGACGAGCTGGAGCTGCGCCAGCGCGCCTTCCTCCAGCTGCTCGCCCAGCACGCCGCCGACGAATGTCAGGTAGGCGGCGCCGCTGGCCGGCAGCGGCTCGGCACCGCGCAGCGGCCGCCAGCCGCGGCCCTCGGCCGCAACGCCGCAACACCAGACACGTCTCTGAGAGGTCGCGGGCGGCTGCAGTGACCGGCGGCGGCGGTGACGACGGCGTGGGCGTGGCGACGGCCGGCACCGGGCCTCCCAGGCCGGACTCTTTGCAGCCGGCGGCCGACGCTGGCGCCTGCGCCGGATCCGCCGGCTCCGGCGCTGGCCCCGGCTCCGGTTCCGTCCCCAGCTGGAGCTGTGTCTGCGCCCGCGGCTCCTGCTCCGGCGGCCGCTTCTGCGACGGCGGCGGCAGCGGCTTGGCCGTCTCGTCCGCCTTGCGCAGGTAGCCCATGAGGATGGAGCAGTTGAGCGCGGCGGACGGCGCCAGCTGCAGCGGCAGCGCGTCGCTGTCCAGGTACGCCACGTCGGCCAGCTCCAGCTCCTGGCGCTTCACGCCCAGCGGCGGGCTGGCCAGCAGGAAGCCGTGCAGCTGGGCAGGGCTGAGCGCCTTCAGGCCGTCGGCGGCGCAGTCGAGCGCCGGCTCTAGCGGGCCCGGCTCGGCGTCAGCCGTCAGCCGTGACGAGCACGGCCCGCCTGTGTCCTCCATGCTACTGCACCCTGCTGCGACAGCCACACCAAGTCAGCACAGGCTCCACGGACGACACCGCATGCTGCGTTAATGGGAATTTCCTCCTACTGTTTGTGCATGCTGGAAGCAATCATGGCTGAGGTTCAGTTGATGGCGACTCTCACCATGAACAACAACCATGCAGGGCTTAAAATCCCCTTGTTATGGTAAGCGGTACAAAGGAGGGCATGTTGGGCATGTTGGGCGAGGGCACTGAATCTTCCGATAATTTGAGACTGTTTGGTTACGGGACCAGGAGCCTGGCAAGGCAGGGACCTACAGGCCTGGTGGCCTTTTTTTGCAGCAGCCATGGATCAGTGGTGTCATGGCACATCACTCTCAGTTTGATGCTGATCTACTGGCTTCAAGGTTGAATTCCTCCCTTAAGATTGAGCTCATTTACTATAAGCACCTGTGTCTATATCTTTGAAATCACATGGCACAATAATCTATAAGCCACACAAACTCCCAAATTATTATTAAAGTAATGAAACCTTTTCTAGCAAGGTCATTTACATGGCACCTTTGATCCTGGACAGGTGGAATGTAGGTTAAGTCTATATGCATAAGCTTGCCAGTAATTGGCAAACTTTTAATTATTTTTTTTTTGAATGTATAAGCCAAAGCTTTCCAAATAGCAGTGTTTTGCCCAAATAATGAAGCTTGCTGTTTTCTTGATGTAGGATTAAGGCAGCCTAAAGCATCTTGCTGCCATCCATTATCCCGCATATTTTACATGACACGCACATGAACACATAGACAATAAGCTGTACTACAAGCTAGTATACTGAACTGTTGGAACTTATGGTCAAACCATAGTGTTAGACATGAATACTGGCTGTATGTTTGCTGATAGTCGGGATTTGTCTGACACAAACTGATGGATGCAGGCTCTGCAGTGCTTAAACATTGCAGCATTGCCTAGTGTCATGACAAGCTTTTGGTGACAGTAAAACTGATTCAGCTCATTTCTTATTGCTTTCAATGGGCATCCTCTTCAAACTAGAGAAATTGTAGCATGTTGTTTATGCTAGGCTGAGATTGGCCAAGGTCACAGGACCACTGAAACAAAACATCCAATAAACTCATCTCACTGCACATGATGGTTCACTGCCCACTGTTCCAAGCTCAACAAGACTTTATCTTATCAGGCCAGCCTTTGATACAGCATGATTGCTGCTTAATGCACACTAGAAGGCATACATTGTGGAGTGTGATGCAGTCTTACGCAATGCTTGCCCATCCCTGACAAGTAGCTGATCCCTTTAAATTCCCAGAGAACCATACGCTACTAGCAAAGTGCTGTTGCTGCTAATCCCTAAATGTTTCAAGTATCCTTAAGATCAAGGTGAACAACAGTGGAGACGGATATGAGCTGCGTATCAAACAGCCGGGTGTGCTCCATCCGCACAGTGACAACCGTCATGGAGAGCTGATCTCTCAGATGTACTTTGCGGCAGTATCAGGATAGGAAAACGTCAAAAAGCAGTCGTCGACAAACTTTCAACATTCTCGCGTGTAATACTTACCAAAACTAGCCAACTACAGCCTCGTACCGCTCAACACTACCCCAGTCGCGATGGCTTCCGACAAAGCACGATTCCAATGCGGCAGTGGAAAACTTGAAATGTTTGTTATGATGTGCCTTAAACTATATGGCGCACAGCGCAACACATCGCCTCATTTTCTGACGTCATGCGTGTTGTTTTTTATGAGGTGCTGTCATCTATATAGCATTTGTTGTTGATGCAAATTAACACTAAATATTAACTGACTATCCAAATAAAAACTAAAGTATGATAAAATGTGTGTAGGTCATTGTTTTCTAGTGCTCAGTTCTCACATTCTTTGTTTTGAATACCGGTGACATTTTGAGCTAATTTATGCTGGAACCATTATTAGAGTTGAGCTGCCCACTTGGAGAAAACAATAAGCTGATTGCTGGTTCGAAATTATTTTCAAAGATATGCTTCTTAAAACATATTTTCTAATGAATAATTTGGCATATGGCTGAACTCAAAACAACCTTCATACTTTTTATTTAAGAAAAAGGACAGTGTTGTTTTCGATCTAATAGTCTTTCGGCGCAGGAGTTCGCCGCGGTGGCCGCTGCTGTTGAAATCTGTCAAAAATGTTCCGAAATTCGATTACTAGAGCTATTATTGTTGGAAAAAGCAGTATTTTGCATGCAGCACCCAGGACAGTGGCAGGTTTGTTCTGCAGACAATCTCAATGTCGGGTGCTTAACCTACCGTTTAGTTCCTGGGGTGTGTGTTGTCATGTTTCCGCCGTCCGTCGGCTATCTTCAACCTGTTTTTATTTTAGGTGCCTGTCATCCAATTTTCAATTCTCCATGAGATACCTGGAATTCTTCTCTTACATTTCGTCACTGGTTCATGTACCTGAGTGCACGCTTTCTTACCACCACGCAGGGAATTGCAGGGGAATTCCTATGGTTGGCAAATGATGGGTAATTTGATGCCTGGTTCATCTGCCTGAGATTTTGTAACATTGTTTGTGGCAGATAGGAAAAATATGGCAGGATTTTCTCGAAATTGATGCTATCTATCAGATTAAACTATGTCTGAAGTGACATCTTGAACTTAACACGAAGGATGATTAGGACATGGCAAAGCTGTATCGCATTGCCTTCAAAATGAAATGAATCGTAGTGTTCGTCATTGACTGCTGCAAACCATGGTGAATGTGCCAATTGTGTGTTGGGGGAGGGGGGGGGGACAAAAATCTTGTCCAGAGTGGAATGGTATATTGGCCTGCTTGGGATATATTTTTAAAACCTGTCCATCAAATAAAGATGATTTGCCATCAAATTGGGTAGTTTGCCATAAACTTGCTAATGGCAAGGGCACACATCTGGCAAGTTGCCAGTTGTGTTTATCACAGTGCATATTATGGTCATCATATGCCTCACAATCTTTCCCTTTTCACCAGCACACATTTGTCCCACCTAATTATGAGACAACTCTGTGCACTCAGATACCAAACTTTCAGAAAGTGAAAGGCAGCAACAAACTTTTTCCTTGCATCTGTATTTCACTGCATTCTGTGCCATTTCTGCAGCGTTCTGAGGATCTAACTGTTAAGCATCATTGTGCGGGAGCAATATTAAGCAGTGATAGTGGAATTGGTGGGAATATAGAAACTATGTTATAATTCAGCTTTGTTGCAGGCATTGACAAAAGCACTGTATTAGGCCTGGTATTTGTGAGTAGATCTGGCAGATACTTACTATGAAGGGCTGGCTTTTTCTATGAAAAGGAGGTAACTCTGCTGCTGGTGCATTGACATTCCTGTTTTGGTCACACAGCATAAAGATATAACCATAAAAGCACTGAGATATCCAGCTAACAACTTGCCACAAGGGCTCACTGTGGTTGGCCTGTCTCAGGTTCTATACACATTCCTGAAACTCATCACCTGACTTGTACAAAATTAGCTATAAATGAAATCTTAGGATTGCTGGAACATGTCCAAGCAGTTTTTGAGTATCGCTTGAGAGGAACTTCCTACAACTTTGTTTGTTAGTCCATTCCAAAGGTTCACTTCCCTTTGACTAGATGGCTTCTGCCTCTTCATAGCTGTACTCCTTTCTTTTGCTAACAAAAACTGTTTTTGTATGTGTCTTGGCCTAATTTCCATTGTACCATGTAGCTTGTCTATCCCTTCATACCTTGTTTATCCCCTTCATATTAGTGCATGTAGCAGCTTTACAGCAGTGGTGTTCTGATTTCCCAAGTGTTGTAGTTTTGTATGTAATTTGGAGAGGGGTGAGTAGATGAAATCATTAAACCCAAATAAATGTTAAAGAATGTTTTTTTCCTTGAATTTGACCCAATTTCTTCTTGCAGGGAGGCCATGTAATAAAACCATTTGAATCAATGGGCACATCCATGTGCAGTCCTATCTCTTCATGTCAAGTGTCAAATCAGTAAGGCTCTCCTGTCATAAATCATCTTGACTGTTGGCTTGTGTACTTTTGCCTCAGTTGATATTTGTCTATGCCTAAGTTTTGTCTGTTAAGTTGCTTTTAAAGCACACTTCTATCCCATTAACATATTGCCCCTTGAAATGTTTTCCAGTCCTTGTGGGCCAACTTCTTATCCCTTTCATCTTGTTGTATTTCACCTTTTATTTCTGTCAACTTAATACCTTTTGGACTTTCTATATTTCAACTTTTATGCCAGGCAGCTGTCATCCTTTTCAACAAGCTGTGTTTAGCTTCTAATTTCCACATTTCCATTCATTTTTTGGTCTGGGGGGCCATATGATCCAGCTGCAATTGTTCTGTCCACCATAAGGCCTGGTGCCAGCTTTTGATTATCTAATATGCAGGCTTTGCCATGGTTGCTGTGGTACAGTCTCTGATTGGAGCATGTAAAAAACCTTCGCTTATGCGTGGATCTAGGTTACATTGGAATTATTTTTATCAACTTGATAGCAAATTTTTAGGCATCCAAATAGTTCAGATTTGTTCTTGTTTGCCACTGAAACATTGAATATCACATTTTAACTATTAGGTACTTATCCTGATTTGCTAATGCATAGTGTGGGTCATAGGCAAATGTGTCATACAAACATTGTGACTCATCAAGTGATTTCTGAAGATCTGTAATAGTATGCGTTGAAGTGAGCTTGTGGTGCCTTGGCAGAAGTCTGTACATATCACATATATTGATGATGGTCCAAATTTGTTCTTTTCAGTTGCAGGATGCAGACACATGTCCAAGGCAGTGGAAAGTGATGAACAACTGACGGCCAGATATGTCCAGTATTTTGAGAGCAAAGACATTGACCACTGGTGGCTCAGTAAGGTAAGCACCAGCTATCATACAAATGTCGGGCATTGACCAATGTCGTGAATGGTGGGTGACAGAGGAGTTATCATTCTAGGGTCTTGATGTTGGATACATCAAAGTGCGCCTTGAAATCATTCATACCCCATGATCGCCTGCATAGTTTTTAATCCGTGATGCAGATAGTCATCTTTCGTATCAAGGCATATATACAGCAGGAGGAATTTAGTTCTAGCCCCTGCCAGAGTGACGCAGACACCTGACGCATTGCTGGTGCCATCAGCACATCAATGACCTGGCCGGAACCGACGCTGTCCCGGAGCCGGACATCATCAAGGCCTGCCTGAAGGCGTGCCGTCGTCTGAACGACATCGCCATGGCCGTCCGCTTCATGGAAATTGTTCACTTCAAGTGTGGCAGCAAGGTCAAGGAGATCTTCCCGTATATCCTACAGGTGGGTCTTGGTCGCGCAGGTGGGGTGTGACGGATGTGCCCATTGACGACGTGGTGAGGCGTGGTTGTCTGAGGGGGTCTTGGCCGCGCCGGGGTGACGGGCATGCTCATGGATGATGTGGTGAAGCGTAGTTGTTTGAGGGGGCTGGAATGGCTTGTCAGGTTTGGTTTGGAACATGCTTGGTCCAAATCAAATTTTGTTCAGGTGGAAATATCAATAGCAAAGCTGCTTTAAATGCTTCATTTCATAAGACGAATATCTAGCAAATGCTGCAAGCATGAAGCTGTGAGAGGTGTATACTGGAAAGTGCGTAGCCCGATAGTATGCAGCACAAGAGGCGCCATGTTGGATTGTACTTCGATCGACTGACTGCCCACGTACGCCGTCAGCTTGTGACGTCACTAGTCTGACCTTGAGGCACTGTCCAATGGGTGTGCGTCCGGATTTGAAAGGTCGTCTTGTATGTTCGCCAGTCAAGATCGAATCAGTATTTGGACACTGTATTTTGTGATTATATCGCGATGCTGTAGTTATGGGATTTTCTTAGAAAAGCACGGAATCATGGCCTCAGCATAAATGTTTTGTTTAGGACCAGTCTGCAAAAGCAGTTGATATGGTGTGATGCGGTAATTATTGAAGTCCTGAGAGAAGCACAGAATCTTGGCCCCAGTAAAAACATCTAAAAGCACATTGTGTATAGAAATGTAAAAGCACCCTAGCTTGACAAAAGCAAATGCATTTAACAGAGATGGACATTTCGTGGTTGGTTAGCGACACGATAGTCATTCGTTTTGAAACTCTATGGTGTGCATGTCACCTTTAAGGTGGAAAGGGAGGCTAAGTCTCTTTTTGGTGCGTGGGTCCAATTTGTTATGGTGTATGAATGTTGCGAATTTGTGATTGCTGTTTAGGATGTTTGGCAAGTTTTCCCGTAAAAACTTGTACGCAGGCTCTATATTTAACGAGTTGGCATTCTCAAATCGTAGCACTTCGTTAATATTGTGTACGCAGAAGAAATCAGTGTTTTTTTCAAGAGCTGTAGTCTGAAAACCCGTCGAAACATATCGATTTTACGTAACCGTACTCAGTCACATTCAAAGCGTTTCTTTTGGGTACCCCTTCACTCTTTACGCCGCCATGTTACTGCAAAGCTTTGGCAGTGCGTGGACTGTGAGGAGCGCAAGAGCGTAGTTTCGCAAAATATGTGGCGGTGGAGTCGGAGAAAATTGGATTAATCTGCATTCAAAATACACAAAGTAGTTCCTTAACTACGTAAGATGTTAAGTGCTTTTGCGAGAAACACTATTCGCATATATAAGACAGTGGTAATGACCTTATTCTTCGGAGAAAAACCAGGGGGATGAAGATATAGATGTTTTGATATTTTGTAAACATGCCTTTATCGAAACAATATCACACTTCAGAGTTCAGCTATTTGTAACGCTTCGTTAACTTGGTAGCTGCCGTCCTGTGTTTCCCATCCGAGAAAAGAAACTCCGATATTCTTCTGCCGCGGGTCTTCTATTAACAACGTGCCTCCTCCAACGCCAACCAGCGCGAACTCTCCCACGAAAACTCGCCGGACACTCACATCACCTTGGATAGCTCTGCAGACCTCCGCGGAATGTCACGCGCTCACCTTTTGGGCAACATTTTCCCGCTTCGTCTGCCAACCCTGAAACCAGCTGTTCACAAAACCTGAGGCATAAGTGGTGCACAACAAACTACATCGTCTACCGCACATCACAAACAGCTGACTTCGTTCTTCGTCGAGATGCACCTCACCTAACTGCTAAGCTTGGTCCATAAATTGTTTCCATAAAGGCGTGTTGCCGAAATATCAACGCATCTTTATCTCCATTCTCCTCGCTTTTCTCCGAGGAATAAGACTATTACTGCTGTCTTAAGCTAGCTTCTGTCCGAAATTGGTCCACTTTCTTCCCAAAGTCGCGGACCCCTAACTGAACAAGAAATGACAACGCTGGAGGAAGGCCCGCATAACAGCAGTGACCTAGGCTTTAAGGTTTATCGCGCTGTTCTGGGAAGAAAAAGTGTCGCAGTGCCAAGGCCCCCTTTTCGGCTTTGAGTGACCTTATCATATGTCCATGTCTTAAAACGAGTGCGTAGTGCGTCGTCGCGCACCTCTACCATGAATTACTAAGAACGCGCACCGTGGATCGCGCGCGTGGATCTGAGGCCCCTGACCACTCGAGTATGTTGGACGTGCGTGGGGCCTGCGGCCTGTCGCTGTGTGCACGGGATCTGGAGTTGAGTGCGTGGTGCGCCGTGCCCCGTCGGCCCGTGCCGGCGCGTGGCCCTGACGTCCCGCTGTTCTCACGCCGGCAGGAAGTTGGCCCGACGCTGGAGGAGCTGGGAGTACCCACGCCGGCCCAGCTAGGCATGGACAAGCCACAGCTGGCGCTAGAGGACGTGTACGACATGTGAGAGTGGGCGGACGCCGCGCTTCAGACTGCGTCGCCCAGCGCCGCACGGGTCCAGGTGGCCGAGTGTAAATGACTGTGTGTACCGGTAATACATAGTGTGACACCCCGGGAGCCGTCTGTTGCTGGGACGCAGCCGGAAGGGACGGCCGGATGCGGCCGAGACGTCCCGCCGGCGCAGGTGCCGGGGATGCGGTCAGAGCAGATCTGAACAGCGACTAAATCGCATCGCTGCAGGCGAGCAACGAAGCCGACGCTGGGAACGCCGCCATCCACCGGCGGCTGACACCGAACAAAACTGAAGAGAAACCGATAATGCATCGCATGTGATGAATCGTACGACGCATGTCCGAAACTATGGCAAGTCGCACTTGGGTGTGGTTATGCCGGATTAAAACTGGTAGAGCGTGCTGAACCAAGGCGTCCGACCTCGCATGAACTTATTTCCCCTCAGGTGGACTCCTTTTGGTCATAATTGTGGAGGTATAGGTCAATCCGAACCCACAAACAATACCTGACAGCGATTTTGTCACTGACGTAACAATAAAGAAAGCAAACCCAGCCAAGTCCTGTCGGAACTTCTTTATTGAGCCGTACATTCCGAAAGCGAAATGGCAGCTTCCACATGTGCGAGGAAAACAGAATGAGCATTTACAGTAAGCAGCCACTGCTTTAATTGCCATCGGCCCACATCTGATGCAACGGATACTGGTGCAAGAGAAAATTGCAGTAGGGACGCGCGATCACACACAACCCTCACCGACGATATACCACCCCGTTATTCCCACTTCCCCAATTTCTTACACTCTATTGCCCCTCCCCCGTAATAAAGTCATGCGTCGTGATCAATTCCGTTCATCCTTTTTCTCGTTCATCACTTAAATGCAATAACTAGGTGTCTTAATTCTGGGAGAAAACGTACTTTGGACGGTGAAACATGGTAACCCATATCAGTGATCGATGTTGGTGTACCCTCACTCTCAATACACATGAACACCAAATCCCCTTAAAAGGGACGTGCTACTTAAGTTCAAAATAAACGCCCGAGTTCGACTGATATCAATTGACTGGCTGTAAGAATTGGTAGCGAAAGACCGTGGCGGCGAGCGCCGCGCCCACGACCGCAGGACATATATGGCCTTGCCCGGGTTCTAGGCCATTGGGACATCCCCTTAAATCGGCCTTCTGAAGCAAATTCTCATTGCTTGTGTACACCGCTCCTGACCAATCAAAACATGGTGGAAACTGGAGTCTCGGCCAGCTTGTATCTGATTGGTTGTAGAAGCGGCTGCCAAGCGTTTTTAACCACTTGCCGGCCTTGAGAACAAAAGGCCAAGACGGTGCGCAACATTCGTGCGAAGCAGGATTTGTGCATTGTGAATCCGAGCAGCTGACGTAAGAGGCGTATGATTGGGATTGATCTTCGTGAAGAGCGAATTGGTGGTGGTGTTTTGGGCTGGTTATGAATCATAGCATGTGAATTGTGCGTGCAGACAGCCCGGTCATGGCTTTCAGTGTCACGAACTAGCGGTCATCTTATTGACAACTCGTTCAAGCGCCTGTAATTTGACTTTAGAAGGTGAGAAATGCATGCTCACGGGGTAGGCAGAATAGCTTACAAGCCTAATACGGTGCCTCGAATCTCAGCATGACTCCTTCGGGTCCATTTTCGGTACGTCCCCAATCATGATGTAAGCATCCTGGTACTAAATGCCTTAAATGTTTTATCCCTTATAGATCATTAGTAAATATACTTGTTATGATTTTGTCATGTTACTAACTACCCTTTTCCTTTCAAAGCAAAAGAACTGTGGGCAGTTTATACCAGCAGTTGATTTTTGTTTTGGGTGTTCTTAGTTTGAGCATATGAATATGAAGTCTGACTAAAAGGTGGGAAGTCTCATGTGAAAAGATTGGAAGATGAAATTCTGAGTTTTCAGGCTTCAAATCAAATTACTGAACATTTGTCATTTCTGGTATTTCTGCAGGCAGGAAATTTTTGATGGTGGAGATATATTTTTCTTGTTTGGGTACAACAATGCCAGCAAGCATCATTATCTCTCAGACACCAGTATGATTTATAGCTGCAGGCCTCTGCTGTATCACATAGCAATTCTCAAATCATGTGCAACTCATCCAATCATGGGTGACTCACTTCAAGAGGAACATGTGGTACTGTGTTTAGGTGTTGGGGAGGCAATTTATTTGGATAGGGGAACTCAAGTAAATTGTCAGTTTTGCTATGTAGGTAGATAAATTTCCATCATTTGCCTGGTAGGTAAATTTATTACATGTGCACCATTTTGCTGCTTAGTTTTTGTGCAGTAGAGAGATCAAGAGGAAGCATCCAGGGTGACCTGTGAGATAAGCTAATGTTGTAAGGACAGACCCATGGTTCTTTTTGGATATAAGTTTACCTGGAACCCTCTTAAGGAGATCTTAGAAGTTATTAAATTCACCAAGCAGTGATGCATATTTCTTTGTATATCTATAGATATGATATGCAGGTGCTCACTGTCCTACATCAACATCTCTGCCTATATCTACCATGGAAACTATGTGTACACAGGTGCAGATGGGGACCAGGGGCAACACAATATGCTGATGCTGGCATGTGTTTTTGTGTTTTGCTGCTGTCAGCAGACATATTTTATAATGCCCCTGGGTGTCTGTAAAATGTAAGCTACTGTGAATGCATAAATGAAATAGATACAAGATACTAGATGTGACCAAAGGTGCTTGGCTACTTTAAAATCCATTTAACAAGCTTTATGGCAGAAAGATCTTGCTGGGCTGGACCAGACAATTGTGCTTGGTAGGACCATGCAAAGCACAGCATTGTATCCTGTTCAAAAAACTTTTAAGCACTAGTTAGGTCATTTGTTTGAATCCATCTGTACTCCCAGTGGCAAATATTTTCAACTAAACTAGCAGTTCTGATATGTACTAAAATTGGTTCAAACAAGCTCTGCTATCTTTGAATACCTGTTTATTTGAATACGTGTGCTTACTCTGGTATTTGGATGTGTATCTAGAGTTATCTGGATGTGCCCAAAAATGCCAGGAAAGATGACAGCTACAATTGGTATGTGATCACAACAGCTGTATAGTTATGGGCACCATTCAGGCTTCCTGATCTGGCATGTCTGCAAATGAATGAAGTGCTGCCTCCAAGCATATCATTGTACTGAATCAACACGCACTGGATGGTTTTGTTAAACCATGGGGAGGGGCTTTTAAAGCAATTATTTGCATGGTGGACTAATGTTATACTGAGTGGGTTGGGGCAGTTTTATACATTTTTATGTTTTGTATGTCATTTCATGTCATTTCATGTCATCATGTCATTTCATGCTAGATACATTTTGTAAAGATTTTTGTGTCAAAAGTAAACTTGCAAACTAAAATTGACTAACTTAAACTTATTACCAAATTTTGCCTTTAATGGACAATTTCCTTGGTATGGTCATGATGTAAATGTTCCTGTTAATAGTGAGGAAGTGATGGGCATTCAATCAGCATGGTGATGCACCTTCAGTTATATTTACTGATGCCTTGAGACTGTGTATGCCATAAGCCCAAATGGCAACAACGACAGCAGCAACTCTACACACATTGTTACACAAAGTGTCTCCACTCTGCAATTTTACTGACCCACAGCCTGTGTTGTGAATGAAACTCTCCGTCTCTGCTTCTTATCTATGGTCACCCTGTTACATGTCACAAACACATCCTCACCATGTGTTTGGATGTGTTTGAGTGCACGTGTTATGCATTGAGTGAGTTTTCATGCTGTCAGGTACTCTGTTTGCTGGCTGGGTGTGTCTGCGTGGACCGACCCGTCACCTCGTGACGCGGCAGGTGGCGATGCACAGCGTGCTGGAGATGCCGCCCTCCTCGGAGCCGGCGCGCAAGCGGCGCACCCTGCCGCGCTTCTCACTGCAGCGGCTCATCTTCGGCTCGCCGCGCAAACGGAAGAGCAGTCGCTCGGCCTCCCGCTCCAGCGCAAACGGTTAGTCCGTGATCTGCCGCTCCAGTGGCACCGATTGGTCCGCGACCTCCTGCTCCAGAGCCACCGGGGGTGCCCGAGGCCTCCTGCCCCAGAGCCACCGGGGGTATCTGTGATCTCCAGCTCCAGCGCCACTGGTCAGTCTGCGGCCTCCCGCTTTAGCGCCACTGTCTAATCTGAGGGCTCCCACTCCAGCGCCACCAGGGGTGTTCGCAGCCGCTCGCTCCAGCGCCACGGGGGGTGTCCGCGCTCAGTCTGTGGCTGCTGGCTCGTATGGCACCTGTTAGTATGGGCGTTTGCCGGCCGCCCTGGCGCTCAAAGGCGGCGTGTGAGCGAGCAGCTTGAGCTTGGCCAGTGGTGGATTGGGGTTGAGGCCCTGCCTCTGCAGACGGATGCATGGACGGTGTCGGGCATTCGTCGGGGTTATCTCACGGGAGTTGTCGAAGATTTTCCGGGCCTTGATGATCATGTTTTGGCCTTTCTGGTGTATTGGTATCTGTTATGGAATTAAGTAAGGCCTTGACCCATGTGTATGTGATACTTTGGGAAGTATAAGCCCGAGTGAGTTAGCGGTGGGGAACTAATGAACTTTCCGCCCGGACGGAAGGTCGGCGGCCATCCCTGTGGGTAGGTAAAGGGCCGCAGAGTTTTATCGTGACGGGACCTTGTGACGTCACAGTATGCTGTGGCCCGTTGTCTGTCCGGATCGCCCCTCCCCGCTGGTCCGGCCTTGGCGTGCGCTGATGGCCTTCGTATGACCTCAGGTGGGGTCAAGTTCCACTGTCGTGAGGTATTGACTGCGCCGTTCAGTGAGTGAGCGCGTACCGCGCTGCGGAGCGCTGCATCTGCCGGCGGCGCGCGGCCGCGCTCGCGCCGCCTGACCGAGCCGTGTATCTCTGCGCGTCGGCAGGAGGCCAGCAGGAGCGGGTGATCTCGCTGGAGAGCCTGGCGGTCGCCGGACCGTCGCACCTGGACGCCGTGGACGCGGTCAGTGCCGGCGAGGTCCGCCCCGCCCCCATCCCACGGCCTCCTGCACCCTGTCGTCGAGTGTCGGAAGGGCTGGTTTGATCGGGCGCTGACTGGACCCGACCGGGGCCGGGGCTGGCGCCGCGTTGGGGCCGACGGCGGTGCAGCTGTGCATGGCACGCGTCAGCTGTAGCCCGTAGAGCAGCCGGCTGGGACCGTACACAGCGCCCGCCGTGGCCTCTTCCTGCTTCGCTTGGGGTGACGATGTCCGTAGGGGTTATTCGACTGCACATGCCGCGCGGGGTTATTCGACTGTAAACTTCACCTTTAGATGGAGTCTGTTCGCTAACTTGTGTTTGGTTATGTAAGTCCGGGCGATTTAATTTGGCGTCAGTTTACTGTCGGCGTTGAAAAGTGACGTTGCGTTTCGGACCAATCGCACTGATGGTCCCGACGCAGCACCCTCCAGAGTTTCTCGCCAAGTCTGCACGGACGACTGAGGATGGATTTAATGTTAGTAAGTGGATGGCGTTCGGATGTCATTGTGATTGAGTGAAATTATTGGAAAAGTGGCGTTCTATGTCGCAGTTCAGAAGTGTTCAAGATCAGAAGTAACCTCCAGAGCAGAGCTGCAAGGGAAATGGCCTTCTATGGATATATCGCGCCGTAGATATTGACCCTTGGTGTAGTTCTTGATAAAGGTTAAAGGCGAATCATGCGAAAGCTTTAGTCACGTCGATGGTCATAATGATATCCTTAGGTCCTTGACGCTGTAGTTACTGTCAAGCTCTGCTGCAGATTGGACTCAGGTAAAGAATTCCTGGTTTTGCTGTATCACAGTATGTCGTGTCTGAGCCGTGTTGAAAAAACTTCCCGATGCCGATAGGGATTTGTGCAGGGTTGCCACGAGGGGCGAGGACAGTCTTTTGGAGTCGCAAGCGGTCGTGCGTAAAAGTGCATGGAGGCATGCAAAATGTCGCCCACGAAAAGCAGGCAGGAAAATAATTTGTGTGATGTCGCCACGTGACATTGTAAATGTGGATAGACGCCGCGCGACAGCTGAGTACGTTCCAAACGCGTGCATGCAGCAGTCAGCGTTCCTGTGAGCGTTCGACTCCAGTCTACCTATTTTTAGTGTATCTATCTTTAGGCACATTGATTCAGCGACTGTGAATAATGCGCCGGCCTGCCCACGCATCGCGTAGCGCATATGGCTGGATTTAGGACGATCGAAGCTGTCACGTGTTTACGGTATGTTTGATGCTTTTTATGTACGCTGATGTAAACAGCGGCATATATCTGGGACTTGGTTCTTTGTACTGGAGGTCACGACGCAGCTGTGCGCGCCCTTTGTTCAGCGACTAGATACACTAACGTTAACTTCAGCACGCGAACTTGGCTACCGTTAGGAAAGTGACGCGTTGGAACGGGTCTAGCCTCACAGGCACCGGCCAGAGCGCCAACCTCAGTCCCAGATCTGATCGCTGGCGGCGGGACACGCCACGGCTGCGTCGCTGGACGCCACCTGTGGGTCGATGCCGATGTTGTTGAGAGCCGTTCTCGGCTGGCTCTAGGGCCCCAGCGCGCACGGCCGCCGCTGTCGGCCCCTGCTGTGCCCTGTGCGGGTCCGTCGGCGGCCCTCCAGACCGGCGAGGAGGCCCTGACCCGGCCCGCGCAGCCCGACTGACCGGCGCCCGCCGTCGGCTCCCCGCAGATCAGCGAGGAAGTGATGATCGAGTGTCCGGTGTGCCTGGACACGCTGCCGGTGGCCAGCTTCCCGCGCCTCACCTACTGCGCGCACAAGAGCTGCCGCGCCTGCCTCAAGCAGTACCTGGCCATCGAGATCATGGAGTCGCGCGTGCGCATCCTCTGCCCGCAGTGCAACGAGCCGCTTCACCCCACCGGTGGGTGAGGCTGGAGCGCGCCGCCCGACGGGACTGGGCCGTCCTGTACCGACGGACAGAGCTGAAGCACGTGAAGCACGAACACCGCCGTGGTGGACGGTCCGGTGCTTGTACTCTTGCTCAAGCTCATGTCGTTCTGTTTCTGACGGTCCGTGTTGTGACGGTCGGTGTTCACATAATGGGTATCATTTTTTTTTCGTTTACAGGTGTGCGTGTGCTCTGCTTTGTCCTTTCGAACACTGTTTCTCTCGCAAGATCAACTTCCTCAGTGCATGGTTTGCCCCGGGGTCAGTCACGTTGGCAATGTGTCTCCGTCGATAAAACGTCTGGCTTTTGATATATGTCACTTCCATTGGCGAGTCATTTTGGCGTTACTTTACGTTTCACGTGAATGTCAGTCGTTTGGCATATGTTCCGCACCGCCTGTGTAACAATGCAGCCGCGTATCTCATCGGTAGACATCAAGCACATCGTGAACGACGCGACGCTGATGAACAAGTACGACGAATTCATGGTGCGCCGCGCCCTGGCCACGGACGCCGACGCCCGCTGGTGTCCGGCCCCCGACTGCGGGTACGTGCGCGTCTCCAGCGGCCCGTCCGCGGCCCCCACTGTGGGGCTAGTGGGGCCTCGCTTGGCCCCAGTCTGCGGGAGAGTGTATCTGTGCCTGCCGTGTCAGCCTCCAACTGCGAGTGTGTGGGCCTCTCGTGTCGTGTCAGGCTCCGGACTGCTGTTTTATGCCCCCCCCCCCCCCCCCCATATTCATGGTCCTGTCCGGCCCCCGACTGCGAGTACATGCGTGTGCCCCGTCTGCCGGGCCCGACCCCTGACTATGGGTAGGTGGACTCCTCCGACAGCCCCACCGCCGGTATGTGCGGCATGTGCGGCTGCGTCGCGCTCGGCAGACATCCCCGGCGTCCGAGCGGCGGCCGGTGCACTCCGTGCGGTCCTGTTCACGACCCGGGCCTCCGGCGCTGCCACCCTGTTGCGGTGGGTGGGGCGGCCCGGCCGTCACTCCACCTCCTCTCCTCGCCCTCGGCGTCGGCGGCGCCTGCTGACAGCCGCCCCGTGCCGCCGGCAGGTACGCGGTGATCGCGGCCGGCTGTGCCAGCTGCCCGCGGCTCGAGTGCGGCCGGCCCGGCTGCAGCGCCTCCTTCTGCTACCACTGCCAGGCCGAGTGGCACCCGAACCAGACGTGCGACGCGGCCCGCTCCGAGCGGCTGGCGCAGTACCGCTCCAGCGCCGGCCAGCAGTCGCCCACCAGCTCCCTCAGCGGTACGCCGCCGGTGGCGACGTCGGCACGCTCGCAGCGGTCCGCCTCTGGGGCTGACGCCTCCTGGACGGCGCGTGTTTGTGTGTAGGACTGACCAGCCTCGCTCGGTGGCTGGTCCGCATGGCTGACGACCCACCAAGTAGTGCGCTGGTGCTGCAGCGCGACACCAGCTGCTCACCGGGCGGTGCAGCAGTATTGCTCACCAGTTGGGTCAGCTGTTAGTTTGTAGGGGTCACTGACTGGCACGCCTGTGGGGCTGACCAGTTCATTCAATGGCGCGCCTGTAGGGCTGATCAGTCCACTCACTGGCGCGCCTGTGGGACTGACCAGTTCACTTTCTGGCGCGCCTGTAGGGCTGATCAGTCCACTCACTGGCGCGCCTGTGGGACCGACCAGTTCACTCTCTGGCGCGCCTGTAGGATTGATCAGTTCACTCACTGGCGCGCCTGTGGGACCGACCAGTTAACTCTCTGGGGTGCCTGTGGGACCGACCAGTTCCTTGTTCCCTGACCAGTTCCTCTTAAAATTAATCTGATCGGCCAGCCACTGCACAGCGTCCTCGATAGCACGTCTGCGTGGAGGGCGCGCGTCATCAGCAGCGCATTGCTGTTCCCTAGCAGCGTCACTGAGTGTTTTTGTTGTCGGACCCCCTGCCAAGTACGTCTTGTCGCGAAACGGCAGACCTCGCCAGCGTGTTAGAGCAGTTCCAGTTCAGTGGGTAATAACCTGCCCTGTAGCGTCACGACAGGACGGCCTCGGGTCAGGGTGACCGCCCTGTCCGGTCGCCAGCTGACCATAAGTGAGGTCACACAGGCGCGGTTCGTGAGAGGCGAGCCCGCGCGCCTGGCGCAGGTGTCACATGCCTATAGGGCGGACCGGTTCACGCAGTTATGTGTTTAGGGCTGACAGTTACCTCAGTGGGACGCCGGTAGGGCTGACAGCTCTCAGTACTGCGCGTGTAACGTAATGCGCGCGTGTAACAGGCGCGCGCGTGCGCCTGTAATGCTGACAGCTGTCAGCATTACAGGCGCAGCGTAACGCTGACAGCTGTAGCGTAGGGCCGAAGCTTAGGGCTGAATGTCGTATCAGCAGTGCATCTGTAGGTCTGACAGCTGCCTCGGTGGTAAATCTGTAGGTCTGACAGCTGTCTCGGTGGTACAACTGCGGGACCGTCGATTAGTTCGGTCGTACATAGCGGGGCTTGGTCGGCCTCTTCGTCGTTACAAATGTTTACAAGGCGCCTTCCAGCCACCGCGGCATCCGGTCGCCCCCGCGGTCGTGTGCGGGCCACGGGATTGCCCTTTCATCTCCCCGAGTGGTTCGTGGATGTAGTGCTTCCGACGAACTCGCTCCCCCCTTACTGCCTTCATCGGGACATCCGTGCCGGTGCAGCGCGAGTGGCTGCTCCGGCCCCGCCGCGATAGATGACACTGCTGGGGAAATGGGATTGCGCGCAAGCAAGAGTGTATTGGATGGCTGATGGCGTGCCGCTGCCTCCGCCGGCTGTGTCGGGCGCCCCGGCGACCGCTGCGTAAACACGCTGTCTTTTTTTCTTCCGACGTCGCACGTATCAGGTGTGATGTCTGCGTGCGTGTGCTCGCCCCGCGTGGTCCCGGGTGTCCGTGGCGCGGTGCTTGTGCGTCATTGTGAACTGGACCGTAACAAGTGACCGCCCGTGCTGGCAGGTGATAACATCAAGAACTGTCCGCGCTGTCGAATCGTCATCGTCAAGATGGACGACGGCTCGTGTAACCACATGACGTGCGGCCTATGCGGCGCCGAGTTCTGCTGGCTCTGCATGCAGGAGATCTCCGACCTGCACTATCTCAGGTCAGGCCTTGCTCTTGCGGTCAGGAGGCCTTTGGCCTGCAGTATCCCAGACATACTGTGTAGACATGTTGTATGCCCATACAATCACAGGTCTCCTTACACGCAGGTCTCGGGCCTGCGCTTTCCAGGTCGGTCGGCATAGGTAACCCGACCCGTATCAGATCGGGTTGGCCTTCGTAGGCCTTATCTTCCATGCCATTCGAAAGCTCATTACGTGTGACGCGGGGTATGGTTGAACCGCAGGAATCCGATGCCCAGCTATCGTGTGGATCAAAATGCAATACGAAATGACGTAACTCGAAATCGGCTGGGTCTGCTAGCACTGTGTCCCACATTGTCGCTGCATCGGCGTTTTTAAGCAGCGTGTGGATATTTCCGTTGCCGCAATACTTGCCTCATCCGTGCGGCACCTGATAACGAGCTGGTGCCTGCGGCCGGCTCGGTGAAGCCCCGTCGTCGCTGCCATCATGTGTCGCTGACGCTGCCCTTTGTCCCCGACGCTGTCCCGTGTCGCTGACACCGTCATGTGTTGCTGACACCATCGTGTGTCGCTGACACCGTCATTTGTTGCTGACGCCGTCGTGTGTCGCTGACACCGTCCTGTGTCCCCGACGCCGTCACGTGTCGCTGACACCGCCCCGTATCGCTGACGCCGTCCTGGGTCCCCGACGCTGTCATGTGTCGCTGACACCGTCATGTGTCGCTGACGCCGTCATGTGCTGCTGACGCCGTCATGTGTCGCTGACACCGCCCCGTATCACTGACGCCGTCCTGGGTCCCCGACGCTGTCATGTGTCGCTGACACCGTCCTGTGTCGCTGACACCGTCATGTGTTGCTGACGCCGTCATGTGTCGCTGACGCCGTCCTCTGCCACTGACGCCCTCCTGTGTCCTTCAGTCCGTCCGGCTGCACGTTCTGGGGCAAGAAGCCGTGGAGCCGCAAGAAGAAGATCCTCTGGCAGCTGGGCACGCTGGTGGGTGCGCCGGTCGGTGTCGCCCTGCTCGCCGGCATCGCCATGCCGGCCATGATCATCGGTACGTGAGGGGAGGTCACAGGTTGGGGGGGGGGGGGGGGGCGCACGCGCTGGCCGAGATGTCCACACCTCCCAGCTGTGGAGTGTGTCCCACCTGCACTCAGTCGGGATAGGCTGGCACGTCGCGACGGCGGATGGGTTGTTTGGCTGTTATAGGTCGTCTAGGGATTAGTGTTGAGGGCCAGAGGGTACGTCCGGTTACTGGCATGGTCAATTCTAACTGTCGCGATACCGTGTTTGAAGCTGTTGGGTCTTGTCTCCGGCGTTGGTGTGGCGTTGGTCGACTACTCGCTGTCACATGTTGGCGATTCCAAACGAGAAGGAGGTACCGAATGGTGAACTGGTGTATGCTGCAGTCCTGTAATCGAGGACCTCCATTTGTTTGGATGTTGTCCGCGTAAGCTTTACAGCGAACGGCAGAATGTTTGCTGGTTTCATCACGCGGCTCTTGGTAGTATATGGTCGTGCAGGCGCGGCGTCGGAACACAATAACCAACCAGTCCTTGAAAACATGGTTCTTGAAACCTTATCTCCCTTAGCTTGTTTCTTATGTTGTGTTGTGCAGCCACGTGCTTGATTTGGTGTAGCGGTGCGTGTTTACAGCGTGTTTCTGTACACTCTGCCCCGTCTGCAGGTATTCCCGTGTGGGTGGGCAAGAAGATCTACGCCCGGTACCGCTCCGGCAGCCGCCACCGCCGCAATGCCGCCATCGGAGGCGGCGTGCTGCTGGCGGTGAGTACCGCCCCCCCCCCCTCGCCCCTCCCCTCAGCCCACACGGACCTGTTGACGCCACTCGGGCGGTGCCGCTCTTCTGAGGCGGCGGCTCGGAGCTCCGCACGCGGCCGGACTGAATAGACGGCTTCGCTGCCGGCGCCGGCCGGAAGGCGGGCGCGGAAGTCTGCGGGCTTCAGCGGCGTCCGGGACACACCGCAGGTGTCCGCCGCGCGCGGGCGAGCGTCAGGCGAGGGTGCCGCAGGGCCTGAGACGTCCGGCTCTGGTCCTGTTGTGGCGGCCGTTACTTTCCCGCCTGACCCTGATCCAACATGACCTGACCTGTTGTGGCCTGGCTTCTGACCGTACCTTGACCTGGCCGGCTCTAACCCGACCTCTGACCTGTATCCGGCCCTGGTCTGACCAGTTCTAACCTGACCCCTCACCTGACCTGACCCCGGACCTGGTCTGACCAACTCCGACCTGACCCTCACCTGACCGATCCCAGACCTGACCTGACCCCGGACCTGATCTGACACCCCTGACCTGACGGGCTGCGCCGGGCGTTGCCGTCGGCCGGTGCCGCCGCGGGCTGTCCTTGCGAGCGGCGGCGTCGCTAACGACCGCGGGCGCCGCCGCCTCCGGACAATCGGCCGTGATTAGAGGAGCGGCGACGGCGCCGGTCGATGGCCAGGCCTCGGCGCCGGCACCGATACCGGGCCGGCCGCCGGCCGCCGCATCGATTCAACAGCGCGCGCCGCGCCGCTCAATGGCCCCGGACAGCGCGGCGGCGACGGCGGCGGCGCTGACGTCACGCCGCCCTCATCCCCATCCCCGGCGTGTGAAGGGCCCCGCCCGAGAGGGAGCGGCGCTGTCGGAGTCCAGCTGCAGTGGGTGGAACACCGGCGGCAAGGTTGGGACTCGGTATTGACGCGAGGGCTTGAGCTCCATTTTATGAGCGTCGGTCTCGAGGAAGGCGTCCAATAAGCCTCCCGGCTGTTGGCGATATGAGAGGCGACGCGTTGCTGCGCTGAGAGACTCGGCACACGCCGCGGAACAGCTGACATGACCAGTGGGACGGGGAGGGAGCCCGCCGTCGCCGGCGTGCGGCGTGAGAGCTCGCCACAGCCGTCCGGCCGACACACGGGCTGGGCATGGCTGCAAGCCCGGCCCCAGTGTTGTGGGCAGGGCGGGGATGCGCGCTGAAGATCAGGTACGGCGCGTCAGGTCAGCGACGGGCTGATTGCCTCCCGGTGCCTGGGGCAATCCGGAGCTGTGCTGCGCGGCGCGGTACCGACACGGCACGCCACCGGCACGGTACGGCACCGACGCGGTACCGTACCGACACGGCACAGTTGCGGGTTCTTGTAGAAATGGGTCAGTTTCAAGTATTCGGCGGCACTTCCGAGCGAGCGAGTGAGTGAGTGAGTTCTCTATGTAGCCGCCTCGCTGTGAATCTCCGATCAGTGGTGTTGTTGGGCCTGCTCAGGAAAGATATTGGTTTCATTATATATATTGCCCTCGTCGGACCTGCTGACGGCGCTCTGAGCAAGGCCTGAGTGGTGCGATCCGCCGCTCAGTCGCCTTCGTGGCAGGTTTTTCCATTCAGTGAAGCATTCTTTTCCGTTCTGAGACAGGCGGGAATACCCGCGGAAGCGCGCTGGTTTCGTCGGTGCCGGTGACGGCATGTGTGCGGTGAGATGTGGTGTGGTCTGGGGTCCGTCGTACGGCTCCCACAGTGCGCTCCTGCCGTATGGCTGGGACCCGGCGGGCAGGCCTAGCGGCCGCGTGTGCCGCCGGAGCCGCTGGTGCCGCGCGTCTCTCCCGTCTCTCCCGTGTGACTGGGAGCCGGCGTCGGCCCGGCGCCGGATCAGCGCCGCCGCCCCGGCCGGCCGTAATCCCGGCGTCGCCGCCCGTCTACCTGGCGATCACGCTCGGCCCGCGCGGCGCCGGCCCCGGCTGCGCGCCGCCACGCGCGCATCCCGCCGAGTCCGGTGCTCGACGGCAGCCGGGCGCGCACGCTGACACTGAGCCCGGCTGAGCACCACCGGCGTCAGCGGGTGACGCCGATTAGCCCGGCTGGGCGCCACCGCCGTCAGCGGGTGACAGTGGCCGGCCGGCCACTGAGCTCACGGTCTGACGGTCCCCCTGCGCCCCTGATATCTCCGGCTGGCGGGAGCGCGCCGGTCAAAGCTGTCCGCGTGCGGTTGGCTCAGCCCGGCGCTCGGTACGATCCGGTCGTGTTCGGGGTGTGTCCCTGACGGTCATGGTCGGCAAGATGCGAGCAGTTGAGAAAGGAACGGAAGGTCAACAGCACGAGCAGGCCTGAAGCAGGTGCCGCGTGAACGGAGACGAAATCATCAGACACATGGCTTGTTGACCTATGTATATAGCAAGACATGCGCGTTTACAGACGACGTGATGGTGTGTTTGGATTCTGCTGATGGTTGGACGGCTGCGCCGAGGTCACCGATCCACCGGTCCACCGCACCGGTCGGGGCAGCCGGCCGTCCCTGACGCCCCGCGCACCAGCGTCTCGGCTCGGTCCGTCGGACAGTCCGTCGACTCGGGTGCTGCCCGCCAGGCCCGCCAGGCCGCGGGCCGAGCATCACCGGGCATCGTCAGACAGGCTGCGATCGGCAGACCGGCGCTCACCGTCGACGCCTTCTGCTCCGCCGCGACCGCCCCGCGGCCGGCCCGGGTCAACCGGTCTGCGCCCAGCGCGGAGGGACGCCGCGCTGGGCGACGGGCGGGCCGGCCGACCGGCCGCCGGACTCCACGGACAGGGAGGGCGGCTAGAACACGCCCTCGGCGTGCATGTCGGTGAGCAGCGCGATGAGGCGCTCCTCGCGGCGCCGGCAGCCCTGCGTCACGTCCACCGAGCCGGCGCACAGCAGCACGGCCAGCTTCCGACTGCGACGGAAGTCCTGCTCCAGCCGCTCCAGCGAGTACTCGTACTCCGTCTCGAGGCTGACGCCGAAGCGGCCGGCCGTGGCCGTCAGCTCGGCCCAGTAGTGGCGCAGCAGGGCGGCCGTGCGCGCGCGCCGCACCTCGGCCGACAGCGACGACAGCAGCAGCAGCGCCACGTCGTTGGTGGGCGTGCTCACCTGCGCCAGCTGCCAGTCGATGAGGCGGCAGCGCGCGCCCGCGTCCTCGTCCGCCGCCGCCGCGCTGCCGGCCGGCTCCGCGAACAGCAGGTTGTTGCACCAGAAGTCGCTGTGCGTGACGGCCGACAGGTGGCTCTTGGCGGTCACCAGGCCGTGGAAGAGCGCCGTGTTGTCGGTGACGTACGTCTTGAGGCGCGCCACCAGGCCGGCCAGCTCGGGCCGCTGCAGCCCCTTCAGGAAGTCGACGAGGTGCGGCAGGCCGCGCCCCAGGAAGTGGTCGTACAGCGCCGCTGCCTGCTGCGGCCGCAGCAGGAACTCATACTTGGCCAGCAGGTCGACGCCGTCGCGCACGCGCATGGCGAAGGTGGTGGCGTGCAGGCGGGCCGCCTGCGTGAGCGCCGCGCGCGCCCGCTCCTCCGTCAGGCACTCTGAGAAGTCGGCCACGCGGAAGCCGGCGGCGCGCAGGTCCTCCAGCACCAGTATGCTCTCGCAGTCGGGCTTGTGCTCGGCGTGGTAGCAGAGCGGCGCGGCCGGCGGCAGCGGCGCGCCCAGGCAGCGGCGCTGGAAGGCGCGCGCGTCCGGCAGCAGGCGGCGGTACACGCCGATCTCGCGCCTGTCGAAGCCCGACTCCTGCACAGTCAGCCGGCTGACCGGGTCCTGCGGCAACAGCTTGGCCACCAGGCGCGCCTCGCGGCTGGCGCCGCCGCCGCCGCCGCTGAAGCGCACCCGGATGGCCAGGAGGTCGCTGAGCATGCTGTCGTGGGCGTCCAGCGCGCTGATGTCGTAGTCGTCGATGGTGGGCGGCTTGCCGTCGGCGTCGGCACCGGCGCCGCGCTCGCGCCGCAGGTAGGCGTCCAACACGGTCTGCAGCCAGGCGCGCGTGATGCCCTGCTCGGCCGACATGCCGCCGGCCCTCTGCCGCCACCCGCTGCCGGCAGGGTACAGCCGTGTCAGCGAGTCGCGCCGAGACCGTTGCTAGGCTACCGCCGGATCTGGCGATTGATTTGGGGCTGAACGGCTCGCCGCCGAGCTTTCCCGGCGACTAATGAGGGCGGCCCCGACCTCAGCCTCCCTCCCCACTCCTCACCCCGCCCCCGGCTCTCGTCCATGCTCTCCGACCTCATCCTGCCGGCGTGCGGGCACTGCGGCGGCCAGAGACGTGCCCGACCTCTGAGGCCGCCCTGCCTCGTCCGACTGGTGGCGTGTGGACGGGACGGTCCGACACGCGCGTCAGACCTCAGTCTGAGCCTGGCTCCGCGGCGGCGCGCGGAACCCGACACGACAACTGGCGGCTGAGGGAACCCGACACGACAGCCGACGGCGGAGGCTCGCGCAGCCGGACGGCGGTGAAGCTGGCCGGTGACGGCCGGTGGTCCGGCCACCGAGACCGGCCGCCGCCGCCGCCGCCGCCGCGCTCGTCATCCCACGGGGTCGTGCCGCCGCCGGCGCAGTCGATCAGGCGGCCTGTTGCTCTGCTGGCGGCGCGGCGGCACAGGCCGTCCGTCGGCCGGGAGCGGCGGCCTGTGCCGTCCGAGACCGCCCGCTGCCGGCCAGCGACGAGTCGCGGCAGCCGGCGGCCGCTGCGCCGCACGGTATGTCGCGGAAGCGCGCCCGCACGGCGGCCGGACTTTGGAAAAGAAGGCGGGGTCCCGGTTTGTGCAAGTGATATGCGCGGATGGCTGAACGTGCGGGCTGACGGCGCGCCACTGTCATCGCCGACCCACCCTGACGCATGTCGCCCGGCCGCTCTGGTTGCCTCCAACCGGTGCCGAGGCAGCCGGCCCTCGCACTCTGCCACCGGCACCTTCTCTTGCCCCGCATCCTGCCACCGGCAGCCTCCCTCGCTCACCAAGCATGCGGCCGGCACTCGGACCGCGCCCCTTCCGCGGCCGCCGTGCGGACCGCTGACCGGAAGCGGGCGCTTCCGGCGCGCTGGCGCCGCCGGAAGCGGGCTAATGCCGAGCGCGGCCCATCGCGGCTACCGGCCCGGCCGGCCGGCTCTCGTTAGCGGAGCAAACGGGGCTGCTCGCAAGCCGCGGCTCCTGGAGGGGCGGGTCTCCTGCTCCGGGTCTGCTGCTGTGCGGCGGAGGGCCCGCCGTTCCAGCACCGGCCGCGGCAGCACCGCCGTCCGCTGTTTGTTGGGGTTGCGGGGAGTGGACGTGGCCGGCGGTGGAGTTGCGGCCACCGCAGCCCGCTAGAGACGACCGGCCACCGCCGCCGCCGTCCGGAGGCTGGCGGAGAGGGCGGGCTGGCGGCGGGCGGCACAGGAAACAGCCGAGACGTGGCGGCGGCGGCGGCTGGGGCGCCGGTGCCGCATGGGGCGCTGGGCCAGTCAGGCCCGTCGGCGCCGTACAGGTGCCCACAAACCCCATTGTTGCGAACGTCTCGGCGGATACATCAAGCGTGGATTTATTTCGTGCGACGCAACAGGGCGCTCGTGCGACACGACGCGCCGTTGCCTCGCATTCCTAATCTGAGGGACCTGCGTCACGTACGCTGCAATGTCCGCAAAGCAGGCGTTTGTACCCATTTGATCCGTCATCATCCCACTGTCTTATTACAAATGTTCCTCGCCGCGCGCCACGGGACCCAGACGGGTGTCACGGTGGTCGCTTCAGCGGACCTACACAGATGCCGCGGCGGCGATTCAGGGCGTGGAGCCGTGCTAAAGCGTGCGTCGATCGAAATTATCATGCCATTTAGGGCACCGTAACTCTTCCGCGGTTACGCACACAAGCGCTTGCTTTACATGTGGAGAAAGAGTCTACGGGAAAAGCCTCCTACAAGAACGTAATATCCGATATGGCGAACTCTGACGATGCAGTTCAGAGGTGAGGAGTGGGCGTGGTGACAGTCCCGCATCGCCGGTTCCGCCGCGCTCATCGAGTCAAAACAGTTCAGAGGGGAGGAGTGGGGGTGGCGACAGCCCCGCGTCGCCGGTCCCGCCGGGGGTGGCGACGGTCCCGCGTCGCTGGTCCCGCCGCGCTCACCAAGTCAGATGGTCCTCGAGCAGTCCCACACTCCGTCAGCGACACCACTCTCCCCAGACAAGGCCAACTCCACTCGAAGGCGGCCGGGGCGCGCCTCGATGGCGTGCAGCGTTGTCCGGGTCGCACGCGGCTGGCGGCCGCTGGCGGGGCGACCGGCGCTGCGCGTGGGCCGGGCTCGGACGGCAGACTCGTGGCCGGGCGGGCCGGCCGCCGGCGCGTCCCTCTCCGATCGATGTGTGGCTGGCGACCGGGTACCGGACGGCGCCCGCACCCCACCCTGTCGTCCGGTGGCCAGGTGCGCCGCAGGTCGCCAGACGCCGCCGCGTCGCCGTGCGACCGAGTATCGGACGCGTTCTGAGCGGTGGGCTAGGGCGCGCATGTGCGACGTGGGAGTTTGACTTAGTATAGCCTGGTGACACTTCTTTCACTGAGGCTCGGAGAGCGAACGCGCCCATCCACTGTCGATACCAGACGCCGCTCTACGTTTGATGAGTCCAATTTGGCAAACAATAATTGTTTGCCTCGAGCCGGTGTAAATGTGATCCGAGGAGTCAAAACCAGGCCCTATCACCCCCATTTATCCAGCTGTTCTTCGGTGCCAAGCAGTGTCGCTGGTGCTTGGAAGTGAGCGAGCTTGGAGCTAGCTGTAACTGCGACCTTATTCTACAGCAGTCCACAAACTCATGATATGAACCGAGATTTTCTGGAGTTTTCGCACAAAATTCGCCATAATCTGGCGACATGCGTCTATTGAAATCGCTAGTTGCGTCTGGCAGCGCGCGGCGCCGACACGGCCGGCTGGCGGTCGGGTGTGCCCTGCCGGCCCCGCCGCCGGAAGCGGGCCCGCTGCCCGGGTCAGAGCCCCCAGGCGGCCGAGCGTCACATTACAGCACACCGCGCTGCAGCCGTGACGCCCCGGCGCCGTGACGGGCGGCAGCCGTGACGCCCGTCGCTGCGTCACGGGCGTCGGTCGGCGTCCGGTGGCACGGGCCGAGACGGCGCCACCGGCCGGGGGCAGGCGGTGCAGCGACCACTCGGGGTCAGGGCACGCCGTTGCGGGACGCGAAGCTCGCAGGCGGCCGGACTGCTGCAGCGGCGCGCCTCGGCCTCGGGCGAAGCACTTTCCATGGCGCCGGGTGGCCGTCGTGTCGGAGATCTGCGCTGAGTTCGACCAGACTAGGCTGGCCTGACCTGGTGTCACAATACGTTAGGTACGGCTTGGTTGGGCTAGAGTCGACGTCGCTGGACGGTGGTCGGCCGGGCTGGTGCCCCAGCGCGTCAGTTTCAGCTGGGCTCGACGCCACTGCACGGTGGTCGGCCGGGCTGGTGCCCCAGCGCGTCAGTTTCAGCTGGACTCGACGCCGCTGGACGGTGGTCGGCCGGGCTGGTGCCCCAGCGCGTCAGTTTCGGCTGGACTCGACGTCGCTGGGCGGTGGTCGGCTGGGCTGGTGCCCCAGCGCGTCAGTTTCGGCTAGTTTTCGGCCGGCGCTTGGGTCAAGGCTGGGTCTTGCCCTGGAGTCTGGGGCATCCGGGGTGCTTCGAAGTTCATCAACCATTGCCAGGTGCGTCACCTCGCAGGGGATCGATCTCAATCTCCGGACTAAGTTTGAACGCATTGAAATCGGCCTCAACGGCGTGATAAACTCGAACCCCGTGTTTGCGTCTTGTGGTACAGCGCCTCAGGATAACTACCACCCCCACTGACAACCGTGCTGTTAGTGAAGCTAATGAGTTTGGACATTCAGGTTATTTGCGCGGCGTCGTCAGTTAGTCGACCAGTCGATACAGTCAATATATAATATTCCGCTCAGTGGGGTATCGACTAATTAAATGTTAGGGAGACAGCATCAGGGGGTTACTTGGCCCCAGCGAACGCACGTCACATTTCCAAACACCGACCCGTCCCGCACCGTTTTGGCTGAAACGTGGCGGGGTCGGCCCGACCAGGCGGTGCTCGACGGTGATCGTTTGGCGGGGAGGTGGCCCCACTGGCGCGGCACACTGCCCATGGCGCACGCAGGGCCGCGCTCGCGCTTGCTAGCGGTCACCGTGTGCGTGCAGTCTCTGAAAGCGCCGAATGCTGGGAGCACTTTGGACCGTTGGGGACCACGTGCCCGCGCGGTCGAAGCTCCCGAAAGCTTCGGAGGGTGTGAGCCCCGGAGGGTGTAAGCCCCGGAGGGTGTTTGTGAAGGGTCGCGTCTGTGGAGGAACACGCGACGTTGTCTGGTGGCCTGATAGCCTTTGTGCTGAAGCCTGTACTTCCGATCTTGTGATGAGTAGGTCAGTTGGCCGGTCCGTTTTTATTCGATGTTTTGCTGAGGATGGTTGACACTGCAGATCCAGTGTGCACTATGTGCTGCGCACTGCTACTACGCACTAAGGCGAAGCTAGATTAGATTAATTAACATCTGTCCCTTCGTCGGCATAGCGCGCCGCTGTTATCGTTACCGAGTCTGGGACGCCGGCCACACGGCCGTCGCGACCTGAACGATCGCGCCGTCGGGACGCAGGAGGGACGACGGATGGGAAAACACGACCCCGCGGGCCCCCCTGATAAGCTAATATTTGTGCTATCCGAGCCATGAGGCCGCCAGAGACGGCAAACACCGGCCTGATGGCTGACGCTCAAGTGATTGCTCAGTGGGAATGCTCGGAGAGAACCAATGCTCTCAGCGCGTCTGAGTCGATGCAGTGCAGGCTCCAGTGTTGAGGCGGGCGCGTGAGCCGGCGGCGATCGGTGCTCAGCGGCTGGGTCGTGTGGATGAGCGGACAGTGTGACGGCCAGCGACCTGATGGAGTCAGTCCCGCCCGGCGCGCCGCTCCGCTGACGGGTCTGACTCCGTCTGGTGCTCGAGCACCGTCACGTTGTGACCCGCAGGCGCCCGAGGATTGTCACGTGATGACCCACCGATGCTAGAGGATCACGTGATGACCCACCGGTGCTAGAGGATCACGTTGTGACCCGCCGGTGCCCGGGGACCGTCACGTGATGACCCTCCGCCGCCGGTGGCGGGTCTCGAGCGGCTCGAGCTGGCCGCCTGGCCACACGGTCCAGCCGATGACACCGGCACTGGTGCGCGGCGGTGGTGGCGGCTTCTGCCCCTGCTCTTTCTCCTGCTCCTGCTCCTGCTGCTCCGTGGCCGGCCCCTCAGGGCGGGCCGCGGCTGCGCCCTGCCACGGGGCCTCCGGAGGCCGGGCCGCGCGGTCGGGCCCGCTGCCCAGCCCGGCCCAGTGGTGACGCCAGAGTTGGCGCGCGCGGCTCTCGCTGCCGATCCGCTCCGCCCAGATCAGGTGCTGCCGGTGGTGCCAGGCGTCCCGGTCGGCGCGCGCCGCGCGGCCCCGGCCGGCCGGCTGCGCCATCCGTCACCGCACCTGCAACAGCCGGCGGCGCGCTGGCATGGCCGGCTCGCTCGCCCGCTCCCTCCCTCCCTCCCTCCCTCCCTCCGCAGACGGCACCGCCGTCCTACCGAACGAACGAAGGCCCCATGTCTGCTGATCATGCCGCAAGCGCGGCCTTTGTGGCACGCTCTGGCAGTTACTTTCAGAATAGCTTTCCTCTCGGCGTGTCAGTAGTGTCAGTGGCCGGTCGATCGTACCGGAGAAGACCAGGGTAGCTGTTTTAGCGGATCACTTGCGGCGAGAAATGCAGCATTAGGGAAACGACACTTGTGTCAGGGAAAGGAAACAAACTCACGGGGTAAAGGTGTGTTACTTTGTTCCCCAGTTGGTGCTCAAAGAGCAAGCATACTTCGCATTTGTTTGTGACGCCACTTTCCATGTCTTATTTGTGCATTAAGCTGGTTTCTCATCCCAGGTCCAGAGTATCGCTAAGCTGGTTACGTGACCCCATTTGACGAGTACAGTGCGTGCGCGTCTGAAACGCACCGCGCTTCACATCACTGGCCAACCGGCCTGTCGCCTGAACCCCGTCTCCGCGACCTGACCTGGTCTGACCTCTCCCCTTGCCTGCCAGCCGCGCCTTACCTGTGTCCGGTGGCCGGCCGGTCGCGTCGCTCGCTGCCGCTGACCCGTGACCTAGCTCCGGCCGCCGTGCCGTCGGTGCCGCGTCCTCGGCTCGACTGTACTGGGGTGGAGCGACAGACGGGCCGGGCCGGTGGCGGGCTCCGCCAGCCCCGCCGTATCGACCTGGGGTCGTGCCGCCACCGGCCGACCGAGTCCGCCGCCGGCGACAGAGTTCGGTGGCGATGCGAGACTCCGCCCTCCGTCCTTCCCTACCTCGCCACCTCGCCGGCGACAGAGTTCGGTGGCGATGCGAGACTCCACCCTCCGTCCTGCCCTACCGCGCCACCTCGCCGGCGACAGAGTTCGGTGGCGATGCGAGACTCCGCCCTCCGTCCTTCCCTACCTCGCCACCTCGCCGGCGACAGAGTTCGGTGGCGATGCGAGATTCCACCCTCCGTCCTGCCCTACTGCGCCACCTCGCCGGCGACAGAGTTCGGTGGCGATGCGAGACTGCGCCCTCCGTCCTGCCCTACCGCGCCACCTCGCCGGCGACAGAGTTCGGTGGCGATGCGAGACTCCGCCCTCCGTCCTGCCCTACCGCGCCACCTCGCCGGCGACAGAGTTCGGTGGCGATGCGAGACTGCGCCCTCCGTCCTGCCCTACCGCGCCACCTCGCCGGCGACAGAGTTCGGTGGCGATGCGAGACTCCGCCCTCCGTCCTGCCCTACCGCGCCACCTCGCCGGCGACAGAGTTCGGTGGCGATGCGAGACTGCGCCCTCCGTCCTGCCCTACCGCGCCACCTCGCCGGCGACAGAGTTCGGTGGCGATGCGAGACTCCTCCCTCCGTCCTGCCCTACCGCGCCACCTCGCCGGCGACAGAATTCGAGCGTAGTGCTCTCCCTCTCTTTCCACCTCGTGCGTGCCCACCGGGCCGGCTGGAGTACCGGGTGACGTCAGAGACCGGCAGAGGCTCGATGCGTCAGAGGGTGCTCCACGCCGTATTCTGCACTCAGCACCTTTCCCGACTCGCATATTCTTATATCTTTTTTTTAGTTATTTGGCTGGTGTTACAAACCGGGATCGCGAAACATGGCTGGCCTGGCTGTCACTTTTGAGCACCGAGAAAATGCTGTCCAGGCTCCCCCGATCACGCGCTGGCTGAGGCTCGCTCCCAGGGGAGGCTGCTTCGGTGTGGAGGGCAGTGAACATGTCTGCTCGTCGCTGCCTTGCTGACCTGGAGCTGTCGCGGCCGTCCCAGTGCAGCGGCCGTCGTCTCTATGTTCGTGTTGATGTCCCGGTCGACCGCGCTGACTGTCGCCTGCTGTGAACTCAGAGTGGCGTGGCCACGGCGCTTTTGTCCCGGTCGACCGCGCTGACTGTCGCCTGCTGTGAACTCAGAGTGGCGTGGCCACGGCGCTCGTGCCGGGCTGCTCTCCATGTATTGTCCGTCGGCTGCTCTCTATGCATTGTCCGTCTGTGTACCCAACGCTGTGACCATGCCTCAGCAAGCTTTTGTGTGCTGCCACTTCGTTTCCCCGGCTTGCCCCTCTGGTCGTGTCATGGTGTCCCTGCCCTCCGCATGTCCCGTCGTGTTCTGTCCCAGCTCTGCGCGTCCCCGTCCCCGAGTTCGGCCTCCTGACGGCGTCCCGCCTCGCTCTCACGTGCTGACTGTCGCTGATCCTCAGGCGCTGACCTCGCCGGCCTTGTCGCTGATGGCGGTCAGCATAGGCGTGCCCATCCTGCTGGCATACATCTACGGTGTCGTGCCGTTCTCGCTATGCCGCGCCGGCGGCTGCGGCCTCTCCACCACGCCGCAGGGCGTCCGCTTCGAGTTCGACGACGAGAACGACGCGCTGGAGCTGGCTGCCGGCGGCCGTCCGGCAGGTGAGGCGCACGCGACGGCTGCAGCGGAGGTCGGCCCGGGAGGCACGCCGCAGGCCGACGCCGGCGGTGGACGCCGCGGCCGGGTGGAGCCGGCGCCCGGCCGCCACCGGGCCGGCGGCTCCACCCCGCCCGTCGTGACGTCACACGCCGCTGACGGGGCGGCGGTCGACTGTGACGAGCGGCGCGCGCGCTGCGCGTGGTCGCCGGCGTGGGAGCCGTGGCGATGGTCCCCGTCGTTACTGAGGCGTGTCGGCGGGGCAGGGCTCTGCTCTGTGCCTGCAGACGAATGCAGTTTGGAGTTTTCGTCCCGCGTGTGCGTCGCGTCTCCTTACCGTGCCCGTCTCCTGGACGACAGCTGATGATGCGGCGGACAGCACGGCGGCCGCCGCCGCTAATGGGTCCTGGGACTCTCCCTCAGACTCCCCTGTGCAGATGTGTCAAACACGCGACGGGCGGTGTTCAGGGAGGCGCTGATTTAACGTGTCGGTAGTGGCTGGGGAAGCACGTCAGGTGCTCCCGCTCCGAGGAAACGTGTCGGCCTTGTCAGGACCAGCCCCGGGGTCACTCAGACTCAGCAGTACTGGCGGTTTCAGACTGTGTTTCCGTCCTGTTTCAGTCTGAGCTCCGTGCCGTTTTACGGTATGCTGTCTGCCCGGTCGCGGAACGTGATGTAGTATACAAACTGTTCTGTTAAAAGCGATCCGTGGGCATGGTACGACTTGCAGCTGATGCAAATGCACGTAAACGCTTGCAGGATACCGCCACCTGCTTCGTGCGAATGTCGTCGGTTGCCGCTGTTGCGTGCCCTTTTGCGTGTGCGCCGCCGCCACGTCTCCCGTCAGCGTCGTCCGTGTGCGCCGTTGCAGACGCCACCAGCACGGACACGCTGTCGCACCGCCCGGGCACGCCGTACCCGTCGATCGGCGAGGTGTCCGGTCTCTGGTCATCCGGCTCGCAGCTGGACCGGGCGCTGGCTGGGCCCGGCGAGAGCGATCGCGAGTCGGCCAGCGTCACGGCCGTGGCGCCCGACAGCCTCACGCCCAGCGTCTACAGCGGTGCCAACAGGTAATACGCCGGCTCTACGGCGGTGCCAGCGGGCTCGATAGGTAACACACGGGCTCTACAGCGGTGCCACCGGCTCTACGACGGTGCCAACAGCTAACACACGGGCTCTACAACGGTGTCAATAGGTAACACACGGGCTCCGCAGCGGTGCCAACAGGTAACACACGGGCTCTATAGCGGTGCCGACAGGTAACACGCGGGTTATACGGTGGTGCCAATAGGTAACACCGCTCTACAGCGGTGCCAGCAAGTCAGACAAGGTTCCACTGCGCTGCGGACAGGTAACACACGGGTCTAAAGCGGCGCCGGCGCCAACAGGTAACGCAGGGTGTCTACAGCGGCGCCACTATACCTTACCTGTGTTTCGACATGTGCTTCTTTTGAGGCGTTTGGTTGCGTTGCGTGTGCGCTGTGACGCCTGCCGTGCGCGGCACCCTAGCACTGCACCTCCGTCCGTCTGCCGCCAGCTGTCGTCTCGAGGCGGCCTCCGGGAAGCGACTCAGTTTCTGCAGCGACGCCCGCTCCGAGCGCTCGCTGGGCGAGACGTCGCTGGCGGCCGACGCCCGCTCCGAGCGCTCGCTTGGCGAGACCTCGCTGGCGGCCGACGCCCGCTCCGAGCGCTCGGTCGGCACCATCTCGCTGCTGGAGGACCAGCCTGGCGCCAGCACGCGCGCCCTGGCCGGCAGTATCTTCAGCTACAAGGTGCGTTGGCCGGCCTGGCGGCGACGGCTTGACGACGCCGCAGAACTCGGCAGAGATGTGGTGGGACGACTCCGTGAGAGATCCTGTGCCGTTGGATGCATGGATCGTTGTGCCGGTAATGGCAGGTCTTTCGTGTTATGTAGAGAAGGTAGACCGGTGTGATTGCATAGATTATTTTCCTGGAGCGGTACCCACTGGTCGGCCAACTCCGCCTGGATGCCTGAATGTTAGCAGATTACACATGCAAGTATCACATCAGCCGATCGTACACCTGCTGTCTGCTAACGGATGGTGTGCCTTCAAAATGTTTCGTGGGCCATGTCTTGTGCTTTCCGCGTGTATGACCTTGGTCGTTTATTCAAGGCTTCGTGTAATGCGTTTTTCGTCTTCGGTGTGTCGACACAGAATATTGCTCAAGTTCATATTTTTTAACGTTCCGATCAGTTGATGATCATTTTCAAGATAATGATAACACTTCAAATATGCAATCATAACCACAGCATATCTACAAACGTTTGGATTCGTCGCATGCCCACAGCATACATGGTCGAGGCATTTGAAAAAATATATATTTGCATCCTGCATTCGTTTCGGACGCCTTATGGGTTTTGAAATTCCTGCATTTTCTCCAATAAAGTTAATGGGTTACCTGTCCGGTGGGTTTGCATTACGGGGGGGGGGGGGGCGGGTGACTGTCCCATCAGTCGCATGCCGTGAAGTGGTAGTTGTGTGAATTGTTTGTTTTGTCTGTTGGTGATGGGTGCCACGTCTCTGATGTATAATGTTTCAACTATACTGGGGCTTCTATGCGCAAGTATGGTAGTGTTCATGACCAGCGTATTTCCGGTAAATGTGGTGCTGTGGTATGTACGCGCGTGTGTTTTGGGTGCCCCCTTCTGCAATAGCTGTTTTTTCCGTTGACCAATGGGGCGCGGTGTTTGAGAGCAATGTTGCGCAATACGTTCTCATCGGTTTACCAAGATTGGGTCATACTTTTTTATTTACATGGTTCGTGAGAGGTATTATTTTGCTTGTTTTTTTATAGAAAATGATCGAGTAAGAATGTCGTTTAATTGGCAAAGTTAATGTTTGCGCAACCGTCACTGATAAGCATCTGACGGACCTTGTCTATCTCCCGTTCGAAAGCATTCCACAAAGAACAATGTATTAAAGCCCTGCGGATGTAAGCCTGAATCAAACCCTTCCTCATATATATCTGGACAGTTCCCACCGCCATTCATACATTTACTCTGGTTGGTGGCTTTCTGTTAACCTCTCTCTTAAATGTATTATTTGATAAGTCAATCATAGAAATGGGAGTTTGTTTTTGAGATTGGAGCTCATCAGGCCTCCTAGCATATGCAGAAATGATGCCATTATTGCGGGGATACGTTTTAGGCTCGGTGTCCGAAAAGTTGAGCACCTGCCTTTCTCCATGTTGCATATATACTTGCGTGAACAGAACTCCTAACGGGGAGCCAAACCTCATCCACCTCGAAGTATAGGTTGTCTTCAGGGCACGTGAACAGGGCCTTTGATGTGCGCGCGCAGGTGGAATTTCCGTTATCGCTCAAGGTAACTTGAGTGGGGCACAGCCTTCACGATGATACAGATACTGAAGAATGATGTCGATGGCTCTCTTCACGGGGGCAGATATGTTGGGGAATGGTGTCTATGACTTTTTCCACGGGGATATTCGTCAATGAGCTTTCGACACCCAATGATGCTAAGCAACCCGTGGGCTTTTTGCCTTAAGAATGTCTACCGTTCTTCAGTACTTCAAATTGCGTACTCAGATTGTGTAAATGGAAAATGATGGCATTTAGCCTATCGGCTACCAGATATGTTGGAGTGGGAATGTAGGATGTAAGGGGTCTGATGGGGTTCTTTTCCTTTCGGGGCTTTGATGTTCCCATATAATATGCCGGGACCGTAGTCGCCAATAACTCTGGAAATGAACGCCAGCATCCTTGGCGTTTGCCACATCATGCATTTTAAGACCAGCTTTGAGGAATGCAGCTGGGCGTCTATAAATTCGTTTATACTTGCGATTATTCAACAAGACATTCTTCACTTTCTGGAAATAATCTTCTTTGTTCGGAACCCGAATGTTGAGCTAAGTCCCAAAAGTCCGCCTGCCCTATGTAACGCTGGGTTTACTGTGGTGTACAACCAACAACATTATGTTTATATATATATATATATATATATATATATATTTATATATATATATATATATATATATATGTTGGAATATTTTGGCAGAATCCTTTGTTTGATACATGCTTGATTAAAAATAACTGCTGACTCAACATTGATGAGCTTTTTGACGCATCCTCTTGTTTCCGGGCTTTTGACTTCGCATTATCGTTCCGATTAAAGTTGGTTCGCACAAAATTACTCATGTATTTGTCCCTCTTTACCTTCTAACGTTTCGAGATCCTATCTCATCGTCGGAGAAGACTAGATGGTACAAGAAATAAGTTTTGAGTTGTTAAGGATGAAAAATTGTGCACTGCTGTTGGAAAACATCTGTTGGTACGGAGAAAATGAATGAAGCAATTAGTTAAATGGAAGTAAGACAGAATCCTATTTTCATTTTCATACATGTAAAAAACACTCATAATGGGAACACTATTGCCACAATCACATTAGAAGTGCTCACCGCCCACCATCTAGTAGTTCAAGAGTTGTGCAAGAATTTGTTTGTCTGTTTAGGGCCGGAGAGAGTTCGTTAATGAATATGCTTTCCCAAATTTAAAGGCGTCTTCTGTTATTGCACGTCCGTAAAATGTCAGTGCTGTCAGGCAGTTGTTGTGTCAATGTCATGTCGTGTTTGTATCGCATGTGGTCCAGAGGTGCCCCGTCACGTAAGTGCATTGTCAGGCGTCGTGAGGGTGTCGTTGTGGTCACACCAATATACGTTCCATACACTTATATAATGGCCCACTAGGCCACTATATTCAAAACGACTGCATACCGAAAACAGACTGACAACGGACGGTGCTTAAATGCTGACAGTGAGTGTCCTCGACGCTACAAAACTAGCGTGATAAGGTCCTTCATTAGACGAGCATTTAAGCACTGCTCTTATTGGCCATGACTGCATTCGGAATTGATAAGAATCAGACAGATCTTGGTGAACAACGTTTTTTTTTCAAATTCTGACGTTGAAAACGAGACACAACGACATATGACAAGACACTTTGACGGCAAACCAAGGCAAGACATCCAACTAACCGTCAAACTGTGTTATCAAAATCAAATGGCATCTGCCCACAAACGAGACGAAAAAGCTTTACGGGAAATTATCTCGACATGTTAAAGGCAAAAACAACCACAAAATAGACATCGTCATTTACTATCGTAAGAAGAAAATATCTAACTTTCTTATGAGAAACAGCCCAGACAAACCCGACAAACCAAAATGCACCAATGTAGTGTATCAATGCAATGCAACATCGAAGGCTGCAAACTTCGTTCCATACACTACATTGGTGTGACCACGACACTCTCACGACGCCTGACAATGCACTTACGTGACCAGGCACCTCGGTATATATACATATATATATATATATATATATATATATATATATATATATATATATGGTTGTATGGCCAAGGGTGTGGGTGTGCGTTTGGATGTGGGTGGGTGTCAGCCTTCCTCAAGCAACATGATTGACTGCAAACATTTGTTTCCTTGTGGCACACAGCAGGTATCAGTGCCACCTATCCGCTGGTAGTGAGGCTGAGCTTGTCACGCCGTCCGCCAGATGTCGGACACGCTGTCGCAGCTGTCGGCGGCCGAGCACGGCGGTCGCTCCGTGTCACCTGGCTCCAGCTTCTCCGGCGACGAGACGGCGGCGCTGGCGGCCGGCCGTCGCTACGGCCGACGCGCCACGCTCGATAGACAGGTACAGGAGCCTCCTCCGCCGGCTGGGGCGGCGACAGCCGGTGCCGTATCTCCGCTGGAGCCCCGCCGGCGAACGGGGAAGCGGGTCTGGAGACAGCTGATGGCCAGAGCCCTGCAGGCCGACCGCTTCCCGCCGGATCGGGTGCCCACCGAGCCCCTTGATGTCGAACTGGGTTTCTACAAATCTGTGTATGCTTACGATTATTTAAGTCCACCACCGAGGTGGACTTGAATAATCGTAAGAACGGAGTCGTTCGAAATAGGCGTCCACCGACCCCCCTGATGTCTGAATAGATGTCCACCGAACCCCCCCGGTGTCGAACCAGGCGTCCACCGATCCCGTGACGTCGAACGGGCAGCCGCCCTGTCGGCAGACTCCGTGGCGACTGTCGCCCCGTTGGCCGAAGCTGGCCCCGCCTGACTCGGGCCACGGTGCGAAGTACGACGCATCGGCGTCGGATTCTGCCCCAGGGGACAGACTTCGTCGCTCGTCACGTCCCAGGACAGATCGGGTCGGACACGGTCCTTGAGTAGGTGATGGTGTCAGGCACCTTATGTTACGCCACTCTGGTATCAGTCAGAGGCAACTTCGGCGGCATTGTTTTGGTGGGGATCTATTCACTTTAGCATATGATTTATGCATTTATTGATGATGGCTTGTAGGCGTCCTCAGTATGTATCATGGCGTCGGGCAAGGAATGTAAGCACCTGCTGGGCTTTACCGCATTGCTACTCACATCGAGGTCATCCGATATGTATGTGGTGATGTACTTAGGCGTTGCTAACATTCTCATCAGAGAAAGGAACTTTTTAAAACGATTTGAGGATCCAGATGACATCTGATCATGTCAGAAGCTGGTCAAATCCTCAGATGGGTGATGGAATACCTGTCATGTAAGCTTTGTTAAGTCGCCTTCACGGCGTA